CACGGAGAAGGCGTGACCCACATTTTCGACACGGAGGAACGTACTCGCCCCCGCGGCTGCAACAATTGCAGTTTGACTCTCAGAGTCAGACTGACCATGGCCTAAGATTGCCTAAACAACCTTAGGACCTTTAAACTTGAAGCCAGTGCGGTCTCACTCCCGAATAGCCTCTCGACTTGCAGACGCATCCCCGCCTCCTGATTCGGGTGGGCACAGAAGCCTGGATGTTGACAACCCGAAACCCTACACCATCCTACACCTCAAACCCTACGCCATCAACCCTAAACCCTGATCCTTAAGCCCTACACTTCATCAACCCTCAACCCAAACCAAGCCGTCAGATTCTGGGGGTTGGGGGCTAAGGGCTTCGGGTTGCTCCCCATCTGCAGCCATGTTGCTCCGGAATTGGTAGAAGGTCGGGATCTCTGCACCTGCGGTGAGGGCTTCGGGCGGGGCAATACGAGGGTCAACTGAATGGTTGTCGTCCCCCAGGTTGACCTTCGTAAATCCTTCCTGCTGCTTGGGCACCAACTCGGGGATTAGAATAGGGTTTAGGGTTGAGGGTTTAGGGTTTAGGATGGTTTAGGGCCCCTTTGTATTGAAAACCGCAAGAGTCTGAAACAGCACTTGTAGCTTGTGATCTGCATTTGCACGCCGCATGAACACACATCAACTGCAACCACGCCTTTCGCCTTTCTATCGTTTCAGACAGAAGACAGCTAGCCTTGCAGGAGCCCAGGGTCAGCGAGCGCGCTTCACCACCCAATCACTGCCTTGCCAATCGCGGCTACTTAGTACTTTTAAGGAGCTTCTTGGAGCCTCAGGAGGTTCTGGGGTTTGGGAGGGTTCGAGGGTCTCGAAGGTCGAAGGCGTAGATATGTTAAGGCTTCCAGGGCTTTAGATTTCGGAATGACTGCGTTTAAAGTTCTGTTTTGTTTCATCGCTGTGGGCTTCTCCAAAATAGGTTGCACTACGGGAGCCATCAAACTCCACAGCGGTCATACACCAAATTCTCCCGGGACCTCCCTCAAGTTACCACCGAACAGGGATAAACGAAATAGTGCCACAAAGGAGGACATGCTTAGATAATGTGGATTCAGTGTTGCGGCAACTCAACTGACATCGCTGTGTTTCGCAGCATGCGCAGTTTGCTTCGTTGAATCACTGCACCAACAACCCCGAGCTGGTAATCCAATCCTTCAGCGCTTGCAAGGCCTCAGCCTGGCCCGGTAACTCCTGCTCAAACTCCCGCGGGCTGCTCACTTCTGCAGGCTCTGGAACCCTAAACCCTAAACCCTAAACCCTAAACCCTAAACCCTAAAACCCTAAAACCCTAAAACCCTAAAACCCTAAAACCCTAAAACCCTAAAACCCTAAAACCCTAAAACCCTAAAACCCTAAAACCCTAAACCCTAAACCCTAAATGGTTGGGGGCAATCTCCTCAGCTTTCAGGAATGGTCACCATCACCGGAGGAGCTTCTGCCCCCGCTCCCGAGCTGGTCTACCCGAAGGGTCGGCCTGTCTCGTATGGGCAAGGCCATTCCTGCAAATTGAGGAAGATTGCCCACAAGCAGAAAACCCTGCTTGTGGGCAATCTTCCTCAATTTGCAGGAATGGCCTTGCCGGGCCATACGAGACAGGCCGACCCTTCGGGTAGACAAGCTCGGGGGCCGGGGCAGAGGCTTCGAGAACTGCCTCCCTTCTCCCTTTCTCAGTCATATCACTTGCGGTCACATCATGCAGTGCCGTCACATTTGCCTTAGGCTCGCCCACTCCAGCTTGCGGCAAGCCCTTCACGGGGCACGACGGGCACGACGTAGCCGGTGCCTTGGGCGACCCGAGCAAGTGGGGCAGCTGCGGCGGCGCAGCTGCCCTCACCACCACCTGCGCTGGCTTCACCACGACGCGAATAGTGCGCCGAGCCACAACGACCGGTGCTGGAGGCAACGGCCTTGCCATGACGCGAGTTGTGCTACGGAACACCATGATTGGTGCTGGCTGCCGGCCCCAAGCATAGGTTGGGGCGCTAGCAGCATCTTGCACCGGCACCGTTGACGTCTGCCGCTTCATCGGCGCTGCCCACACGTAGCTGTTCTTTGACACTGCCATGGCGGGCCCGCAAATGACAGCGCCTACAAGTGACAAGTGAAAATTGTAGGAGCGCACCGTGATCTGGGAATTTGCTGATGTCCAGCTTCGGGGGCTTGAGTTTTTCGCAGAACTCACTGGGCCGAGACCGAGACATGAAAGCACATCCATTCTGCTGAAGTTGATCTCATCTGTTTGGGATGCGACGAAGCAAAAGATACTGTAGCTATTGAGAACAAAAGTAACTCTTTCACCGTCTGCCCAAAACTACGGTATTCCCGAGTGTTCGACAACTACACCTATACATGAAAGCACCACAGCTGTAGGTTTGCGTTCCCTGCATGTCTAACGTGCTTTCGAAGCTTCTTTAAACTGTGAATCAACAGCTACTTGCTAAGCCCGAAATCTGCCCTCAGGGCCTTGCGCCAAGAAGGCGACCGTGGTCGATGCGGACGTGTCAAACAGGGTCGTGGCCTCGGTAGTATTGTGTGCCATGTCCTTGAGGACCAAAGGAACTAAAAGTGGGGTCATATACCCTCTATTGCCCTATACTACTATAATCCCTATTAAGGTATATGGACCATAAACCCTTTTGGGGCTCATTTGGTTCCCAAGGGCGCGGCCACTCAAAAGCCTTCCCAAAACAGTCCCGGACAGGCGGGCTTAGATTGAGGGTTTCATTGAGGTTTAGGGTTTAGGTGGACCTGGAGACGACCAAGACAGCACTTTTTGTCAACAGTTTGTGCAAGAGAAATATGTATATAAATATATATATATATATATATATATATATATACATATATATATATATATATATGTATGTACACATAATATTGTACATATACGTCAAATATATACATAGAATAACGCAGCATCTGGGTTCATCGTGGGCCAAAAAACAGGCAGCATGCTGTTGCTAGTCCGAATCTAGCCACGTGCCAAGCTTCCGTGCCACGCAGGCCATGCCGGAACTTCAACCACTGAGAATTCAGAATGGAAATACATGTGGATTTGGGGCGTACCTGGCTCTGCCAACTCAGAGCAGCTCAAAACGCTGCTCCATTCGGGGGGGCTGGAGGGAGGGGGGGGGGGGGGGGACGGGGAAGCCGAAGAAAGCGAACACTGGGGCCTAAAGCCCTCCTGCGAAATCTTGTGAAAAACCCTCTGAGATCCCTGCCGCGGTCACACTCGGTCACACTCTGAGCCTGCGCGCAGAACGCCCCGGGACTGCTTCCCACTTCCTCTTCCAAAGCTTTGCTAACCCAAAGCCCTTTAGCCCGAGACCCAAACCACACCCTAACTAAGGGTCCCCTAACATGTTTATGATCAGTTGCAACTCTGGTTTCCCGCTCGAGCCCCCAGTGCAGAGCTCGCGCTTCGCGCCTTGTGGCACCCCAAGTCCAAGAGCTTGGGGCCTGGCGCCGAGCTGAGGCTTAGGGGTTGAGGGTTGAGGGCTGAGGGCTGAGGGTTTCGGATGTAGGGTGTAGGGTTGAGGGTTGAGGGCTGAGGGTTGAGGATTGACGGTTCGGGGTTTGGTTGGGTTTGGTTCACTTTAGGGTGCAATGCTGGACCCGCTCTCGTCTGCGCACCCCCCAACGCGCCCGGCCTCCTAAACAGTTTATCGTTTAGTGGGGCAAGGGGATTAAGGGTCAGAAAGAACGTATCTTGCGGGCCCCCAAAGCTTCTTTACCTTGGGGCTTGGCCACCAGGGACTTCTGCAATGCCCTCGTCAGGGCCATCTTCGGAACGAACTACTGGAGGCCTTTTTGCAGAGAAAAAACATACAGGGCTGAATCAGTGGACTCCCAAACGGCTCTTAGGGCTTGGGGTTTAGGCTCTTAGTCTTCGGGGGCTTGGGGCTGAGGGTATGGGATTTCGGGATTGGGAATTGGGCTTCTGAGGGTCTTTCCCAACCCCCCGAACCCTCGACCCCTCAACCCTAAACCCACAAACGAACAAACGAGAGGCGAAGCACCAAAGCCTCAACCCGAAACACTAACATGCCCTCAACCTCAGAAACCATGAGACCCCCCAAAGCCGGCGACCTTCAAAGCCTGAAACCCTGAAGCCCTCAAACCAAACCCGCAAGAAGCCTTGAAACCCTTGACCCTACTTCAGTCTAAGCCCTCAAACCCTTCAGCCCTAATGTGCAGCCAAAGCTCTAAACTTTAAACCCTACTGTAGGCGCTGACCCCTGCTAAAATCCTGCTGTAGGGAAGCAGGCGCGGCCCAAGGTCACGACGCATCCCTCCGACAGAACCCTGGATCCCGAACGCTACCTCGTGGCCCAACCCGAACCCGACCGAGCTCACAACCCTCAATCTTCCGAGTCCTACCGGTGGGTGGGCGGGGCCCCGGGGGGTCAAAGCTCTCAGGGCAGTACTCCCATTGCGGCGGCGAGGCCCAGGGACAATGAGCAGTCTGTAGGCGAGGCGCCTGCGCTCGGGCGCACAGTTCATTCAGCGATTTTCAAGGCCTGAGCTGTCCGACGCTGGTCTGCTTTGCTCCACAATGACAACAGAAATCAAAGCATCTTCACCCTCTGCAATTGGAGAACTTTTTTCATCTAACAGCTCGTCCATGCCATCCAGGATGACAAGCCCATGTTAGACACTTGTTAGGCAAATGCAGCCAGCACGAGAAGGTCCGCACTGGGTCAATGTTCGACGTTGTGAAAAGCGACTGTACACACTCTGTGAGCTGTCGGCTGCACCCGTGACTCGCCCCAAAAGAGGCACTTAAAAGCCGAACACCAGCGCCTGCCATCGTCCAAGATCACATTGATGATGTATTCGACAGCTGAAGCATCTCCCAACAAAGCACTTAGAAGCCGAACGCCAGCAGTTCCAGCGCAGGTACCCGACAAGCACTATCTCTTGAGCCCGTGGCACATGTCACAGCCTCGAGCCTGCTACAAGGCTACAGGTAGACCACCTAGTAAGCGTTGGAACCGCTGCTGGCTGCAGCCTGCATAGTCACGGTGCACCCGAGCCGCAAACTCCTTCCTTGCAGCATCGTGCAGCCTATGCTGGAGGATTTCGCGTGACTTGTCTGAGCAGTCTTGGCCCCTCCCCGCCGCCTCTGGTTCGCCCGTAGGCTTCTTGGGGACCTCGAAGCCCATCCCGCCGAGCTCCGCCATGAGCGCCTTAAGTGCTTCCAAGGCCTCAGCCTGGCCTGGTAATTCCTGCCCAGGCTCCTGCGCTGGGCTAGTGCAGGCTCTGGAGCCGATTTGGGGGCCGCAAGCGGGGCCGGCTTCGGGGCCGGCTTCGGGGCCTTTGGAACGTCGGTGTCTGCTGGCAGCGCCGATAAAGCGGCAGATGCCAACCATGCAGGTAAAAACTGCCCGGACCTATGCTTGGGGCTGGCAGCCAGCACCAATCATGGTGTTCCGTAACACAGAAACCCCACGACTGGTGCTGGCTGCCAGCCCCAAGCATAGGTCGGGGCGCCAGCAGGTTGCGCCTGAACTGTTGGCATCTGCGGCTTTATCGGCGCTGCCCATACGTAGCCGTTCGTTGACAGTGCCATGGCGGGCCCACGAAAAGGACAGCACCTACAAGCGAAAATTGTAGGAGTGCACCGTGCTCTGGGATGTTGTTGATGTCCAGCTTCGGGGGCTTGGGATTTTCGCTGAAGCCTAGATGGTTGCTTGAGAACTCACTGGGCCGAGACAGAGAAGTGAAAGCGCATCAGTTCTGTTTGGGATGCGACGTAGCAAACGTACTGTGTCCTACTGAAAGAGCAATTCCTTCTGACTCTGCCCCAAAACTACAGTATTCCCGAGCGTTTGACAGCTCTACTATACATGAAAGTACCACCGCTGTAGCTTTGCGCTCCCTGCATTGCTAGTGTTTTCGAAGCTTCTTTGTCTTTTCGGTAAGGCCCATCATGAGTGCCCGACACCGCACACCCACACCGTCAATCAACAGCACAAATTACTTCTTAAGCCCGAATCTGCCCTCAGGGCCTTGCACCAGGAAGGCGATCGTGGTCGATGTGGACATGACAAACAGGGTCGTGGCCTCACAAATCGTGCCATGTAAGGCTATGGCCAAAAACCTTCCCAAAAGAGCCCCGAACAGTCGGGCTTAGATTTAGGTTTCGGGTTTAGATAAGCCTGAGACAACGAAGACAACACTTTTTGTCAACAGTTTGTGCAACATAGCTTGTATATACATATACATACATATATATATATATGTACATATATAATTTACCTATACCTTTATCGACGCAGCATTGTCGCGGGCCAAAACGGGCAGCATAGGTTTGCTGGTCCGAATCTAGTCACGTGCGAAATTACCACATATCTGGCTCTGCCAACTCAAAGCAGCTCAAAGCGCAGCTCCACTCGGGGAGGTCCGGAGGGAGGGGGGGCGGGACCCGGGAAGTCGAGGATAGAGAAGAACTGGGCCTGAAGCCCTCCTACGGGATCTTTCCAAAGCCTCTGAAATTCCTGCCGTGGTTGCACTCTGAACCTGCGAGCAAAACGCCCCGGGACTGCTTCCCACGCATTGCTTTGCGAACCCAAAGCCCTGCAGCCCGAAACCCAAAACACACCCTCATTGAGGGTTTTGCCTGAGGGCTCCTATCGGTTCCCGACATGTTTATAATCAGTCGTAACTCTGGTTCCCCTTCCTTTCTTACAACCAACGGACCTCCGAGAGTCAGCTCTTGTATCGCCCAGCCTGAAAACTGCCCCAAACCGGTTTCCCCCACCCGCCCCGCCCTAAAACCCCAAACGACCCAAACCCCGAAAATACCCAGACCCCAAAACCCACAGCCCCACCCCCCAAGACCAGCTCGAGCCCCCCCAGGTCACAGCTCGCGCTGCGTGCCTTGGACTGTGGCAGGCACCCAGACCTTTGGGGCCTCGCTCCGGCGCAAGGGCAGCAGGGGTTTCGGGCTGAGGGCTTTAGGGCAGCTGGGTGTAGGGTTTAGGGGTTTAGGGCTAGGATTGAGGGCTTCGGGTTTGCTTGGGTTTGCTTGGGTTTGGGGTGCAATGTTGGACCTGCTTTAGTGTGCCCCCCCCCCCTCCCCCAAAACAGTCGAAGCTTTTGTCCCTCGTTACACGTATGCCAAACACGCAAAATGAACAGCGAAGATGGACCATTCTCCAAGGATCGCCTGAGACTCTTAAGTGAAGATGGCGGGGCGCTTGACTTGCAACGGGAGGCCAGTTGGACTTCAACAGACGAGTCCAACTAACATCGATGATGCTCCGGTCAGCGGAGTCTCTGAAACGCTGTAGTTTACGATCTGCGTTTGCACGCCGCATCAACACACATCAACCTCCAACCACGCCCCTGCAGACAGCCTGGCAGGCGCCGAGGCCCAGCCAGCCTTCGGGGGCTTCAGGGCTTGGGGGAGGGTTTCGAGGGCTTCGAGGATTTCGAGGAGTTCGTTGGCTTAGATTCTTTAAAGGGCTTCCAGGGCTTTAGATTTCGGGATGAATGCTTTTAAGGTTCTTTTCTGTTTCATGGCTGCGGGCCTTTTCGGGGGTAGGCTGCATTGAGGGCTTCCACGGGGTTAGGGACGAAGGCTCGAGCCTTAGAGGCGCAAAAATCTCCATCAAACTCCACAGCGCTCATATATACCAAATTTGTCCCGGGACCTCCTTCAAGTTACCATCTAACAATCTGACAGGGATAAATGAAATAGCGCCGAAACATAGGACATACTTAGATAATGTGGAATCAGTACTGCAGTGACTTAATTTATTTCGCTTTGTTTCGCAACATGCGTAGCAACTACTTCGTTGGACCACTGCACCAACAACCCTTCTGGAAATCTAGGCCCTAAACTCTGGATCCTGAACACTAAACCTTGACCCAACCTGATCTTCCGTCCGAGGCTCCAGGTCCTACCGGTGAGTGGGTGGGTAGGCAGGTTGGCGGGTCAAAGCTCTCAGGGCAGTACTCCCATTGCGGCGGCGAGGCCCAGGAACAATCAGCAGTCTGGAAGCGCGGCGCCTGCGTCCGGGCGCACAGTTCATTCAGCGATATTCAGGGCCTGAGCTGTCCGACGCTGGTCTGCTTGGCTCCACAGCGACAAAGGGGAAAGCAGCACAGCCAACAGTGAACAGAAATCAAACATCTCGACCCCTCTGCAAGTGGTGACTTTTTTCATCTCCTCTCTACTGCTCCACATGCTGGAGCTCCGAGAGGAGGAACAGCGCGTCCCTGCCATCCAGGGTGACAAGCCCACGTTAGTCAGTTGCTAGACAGTTGCACCCTTGAACTTCACCCACCCGAAAAGAACACGCATAAGCCGAACACCGGCGCCTGCCGTCATCCAAGCTCACATTGATCACGTACTGCAACATGCCATTCCTGCGCGAAACGCATGGAGAATGAACACGTGATGGCATGGTCCACAATAGGTCCGAAACTTCATCGTTCAGTCTTGTTGTCTGTGTACATGAAAGCTCCGGAGAAACCAGAAGACTGTCATCGGAAATCTTGTCCTCTTGGTGTGCTTTCCCAACGCTTTCCAAAAGTTTCGCAACAGCGTTCTGGATCACCCTCATCATGTGAGTGGGCAAGGGGTGCTTTGCAGGAATTGGGGGAAGGGCATCATACAAACGACCCCTGTCCGGTTGGGGTTGCAGGAAGCCCAGCCGGAGGAGGGGGTGGGGTGGGGGTGGGGGGTGCAAAACAATCAAAAAAAAATCTGTAAGAAATGCTTGCCCGCCACGAAGCAAGAAGAAATCATGTTACTTCTTTTCTCAAAGAAATGAACTTCAAAAAACACTGCAGACACACAAGAACTGGAACAGAACAGACATGCAAAAGCGCGGGGCCCCACAGCGTACCTCTCTGCAGAGAGTGAGTTGACGATGTCCCCCTCCACAGCACAGCCCGGCACGCGCGCCTGAATTGTCGGAAGTTGGGGAAGATCGGGTGGTCGGGCACCTTGGCCACCTTGCCACTGCATCCCACATGGGTCCTCGGCGTGGATGCAAAAAGCTCAAGGCCTTTAAGAAAGTCCAAGACGCTAAGCCCCTAGGCAAGTGCTCCTATGCAGCCGCGCCGCCCTTCCACGATGCGGACTCGGCTGCCTAAACGGCCGACCTTGCTGTCGAGCACAGCGTCCTCCTTGTTAGGCCAACAGTCCTCGAGGCAGGTTGCCTTGTCTTCCGCCAGCGCTCTTGCCGTGAAGTGCTTCTCGTGCACCTGCGCCGGAACTGCTCATCTCTTGAGCACGTGGCACATGTCACAACCTCGAGCCTGCTACAAGTAGACTCACCTAGTGAATCCTGGTAAAACCACTGCTGGCTGCTGCGGATGCAGCCTGCAGAATCACGGCGTACCGGAGCCGCAAGCTTTCCGGCTGCATCGTGTTGCTGAGCACGACGAGGTCTCCCACCTTGGGGCATGCGAAACGAAAACCTTAGCTATACTGAGAAAACAATCAGACACGATTTGGTATAGGCTTTCCATGCAGCACCGTGCAGCCTACACTGGAGGATTCTGCGTGCTTTGAGCAATCTTGGTTAACTTACCCTGCACCCTCCCCGCCGCCTCTGGTTCGCCCGTCGGCTTCTGGGGGACCTTGAAGCCCATTCTGCCGAGCTCCGCCATGAGCGCCTTCAGCGCTTCCAAGGCCTCTGCCTCGCCTGGTATTTCTTCTGCAGGCGGAGCCGGCTCCGGAGCCGGCTCCGGAGCCGGCTTCGGAGCGGGCTCGTTGGGCACGTCGGTCTCGAGTTGGGGGCAATCTTCCTCAGCTTTTAGGATTAGGAATGGCCTTGCCGGGCCATACGAGACTGGCCGACCCTTCGGGTGCACCAGCTCGAAAACCGGGGCAGAAGCTTCGAGAACTGCCTCCGTGTTCCCTGTCTCAGTCACTTCATTTGGGGCCGTCACATCATGTGGGCCAGGCTTGGCGTCTTCCACTGCAGTCACATGTGGGGCAGGCTCGCCCACTCCAGCTTTCGGCCCCTTCACGGGGTGTGCTGTAGATGCTTTCCTGGGCGACCCGAGTAGGCGGGGCAGCTGCGGCGGCGCAGCTGCCCTCACCACCACCTGGGCTGGCTTCACCACGACGCGAATAGTGCGCCGAGCCACAACGACCGGTGCTGGCGGCAACGGCCTGACCATCACGCGAGTTGTCTGGCGGGAAACTAGAACTGGTGCTGGCTGCCTGCCCCAAGCGTAGGTCGGGGCGCTAGCAGCATTTTGCACCTGCACCGTTGGCATCTGAGGCTTCATCGGCGCTGCCCAGACGTAGCTGTTCTTTGACACTGCCATGGCGGGGCCGCAAATGAAAGCACCTACAAGTGACAAGCGAAAATTGTAGGAGCCGTGATCTGGGAATTTGCTGATGTCCAGCTTCGGGGGCTTGAGTTTTTCGCAGAACTCACTGGGCCGAGACCGAGACATGAAAGCACATCCATTCTGCCGAAGTTCATCTCATCTGTTTGGGATGCGACGAAGCAAAAGATACTGTAGCTATTGAGAACAAAAGTAACTCTTTCACCGTCTGCCCAAAACTACGGTATTCCCGAGTGTTCGACAACTACACCTATACATAAAAGCACCACAGCTGTAGGTTTGCGTTCCCTGCATGTCTAACGTGCTTTCGAAGCTTCTTCGTCGTTTCGGTAAGGCCAATCATGAGTGCCCGACACCGCACACGCAAAAACTGTCAAGCAACAGCTACTAAGCCCGAAATCTGCCCTCAGGGCCTCGCGCCAGGAAGGCGATCGTGGTCGATGCGGACGTGGCAAACAGGGTCCTGGCCTCGGTAATATTGTGTGCCATGTCCTTGAGGACCAAAGGAACTAACAGTGGGGTCATATACCCTATATTGCCCCATACTACTATCATCCCTATTAAGGTATATGGACCATAAACTTTGGGGTTCATTTGGTTCCCAAGGGCGCGGCCACTCAAAAGCCTTCCCAAAACAGTCCCGGACAGGCGGGCTTAGATTGAGGGTTTCATTGAGGTTTAGGGTTTAGGTGGACCTGGAGACGACCAAGACAGCACTTTTTGTCAACAGTTTGTGCCAGAGAAATATATGTGTGTATATATATATACATATATATATATATATATATGTACACATAATATTGTACATATACGTCAAATATACATAGAATAACGCAGCATCTGGGTTCATCGTGGGCCAAAAACAGGCAGCATGATGTTGCTAGTCCGAATCTAGCCACGTGCCAAGCTTCCGTGCCACGCAGGCCATGCCGGAACTTCAACCACTGAGAATTCAGAATGGAGATAGATTTGGATTTGGGGCGTACCTGGCTCTGCCAGCTCAGAGCAGCTCAAAACGCTGCTCCATTCGGGGGGGCTGGAGGGAGGGGGGGGGGGGGTGGGACGGGGAAGCCGAAGAAAACGAACACTGGGGCCTAAAGCCCTCCTGCGAAATCTTGTGAAAATCCCTCTGAGATCCCTGCCGCGGTCACACTCTGAGCCTGCGCCGGGCAGAACGCCCCGGGACTGCTTTCCAAAGCTTTGCTAACCCAAAGCCCTTTAGCCCGAGACCCAAACCACACCGTAAATAAGGGTCCCCTAACATGTTTATGATCAGTTGCAACTCTGGTTTCCCTTCCGTTCTTACAACCAATGGACCACCCAGAGCCAGCTCTCGTATCGCCGAGCCCTAAACTGGCCTAAACCTCTTTCCCCTGCCCCCGCCCCTCAAACCTAAACCCTAAACCCTAAACCCCCCCCTCCCCCAAACAAAAACAAACACACACACACACACACACACACACACACACACACACACACACACACACACACACACACACACACACACACACACACACACACACACACACACACACAGCCCTAAACCCTAAACCCCAAAACCTTGAACCCCAAGACCCAAAGCTCGAGCCCCCAGTGCAGAGCTCGCGCTTCGCGCCTTGTGGCACCCCAAGTCCAAGAGCTTGGCGCCTGGCACCGAGCTGTGGCTTAGAGGTTGAGGGTTGAGGGCTGAGGGCTGAGGGTTTCGGATGTAGGGTGTAGGGTTGAGGGTTGAGGGCTGAGGGTTGAGGATTGACGGTTCGGGGTTTGGTTGGGTTTGGTTCACTTTAGGGTGCAATGCTGGACCCGCTCTCGTCTGCGCACCCCCCAACGCGCCCGGCCTCCTAAACAGTTTATCGTTTAGTGGGGCAAGGGGATTAAGGGTCAGAACGTATCTTGCGGGCCCCCAAGCTTCTTTACCTTGGGGCTTGGCCACCTTTTAGGGACTTCGGCAATGCCCTCGTCAGGGCCATCTTCGGAACGAACTACTGGAGGCCTTTTTGCAGAACAAAAACATACAGGGCTGAATCAGTGGACTCCCAAACGGCTCTTCGGGTTTGGGGGTTTAGGCTCTTAGTCTTCGGGGGCTGGGGGCTGAGGGTATGGGATTTCGGGTTTGGGAATTGGGCTTCTGAAGCTCTTTCCCAACCCCCCGAACCCTCGACCCCTCAACCCTAAACCCACAAACGAACAAACGAGAGGCCCTGAGCGCTAGAAGGTGAAGCACCAAAGCCTCAACCCGAAACACTAACATGCCTAAAACCTCAGAAACCATGAGACCCCCCAAAGCCGGCGACCATCAAAGCCTGCAACCCTGAAGCCCTCAAACCCGCAAGAAGCTTTGAAACCCTTGACCCTACTTCAGTCTAAGCCCTCAAACCCTCCAGCCCTAATGTGCAGCAGCTCTAAACATTAAACCCTACTGTAGGCGCTGACCCCTGCTAAAAACCCTGCTGTAGGGAAGCAGGCGTGGCCCAAGGTCATGACGCATCCGCCGCAGTTTAGGGTTTTGGGTTTAGGGATGTCACAAGTCATTGCAGTAGCATCCCCCTAGAACCCGGGTAGATGAATAAGTCGAGCTCTGGGAATCTAAGCCCTAAACCCTGGATCCCGAACGCTACACCGTGGCCCAACCCGAACCCGACCGAGCTCACAACCCTCAATCTTCCGTCCGAAACCCCAAGTCCTACCGGTGGGTGGGCGGGGCGGGGCCCCGGGGGGTCAAAGCTCTCAGGGCAGTACTCCCATTGCGGCGGCGAGGCCGAGGGACAATGAGCAGTCTGTAGGCGAGGCGCCTGCGCTCAGGGCGCGGAGGTAATTCAGCGATATTCAGGGCCGGAGCTGTCCGACGCTGGTCTGCTCTGCTCCACAACGACAAAAGAGGAAAGCAACAGGAGGAACAGCTCGTCACTGCCATCCAGGGTGACAAGCCCACGCTAGACAGGTGCTAGACAGTTGCCTTGCGCCCTTGAAGCACTCACCCAAAAAGAACACGTAAAGCCGAACACCGGTGCCTGCCCTCATCCAAGCTCACGTTGCTCACGTATTGCAACTTGCCATTCCTGCGTGAAATGCATGGAGAATGCACGCGCGACGGCATGGTCCACAAGAGGTCCGAAACTTTGTTGTTCAGTTTTTTTGTCTGTGTACATGAAAGCTCCGCAAAAACCAGAATACTGTCATCGGATATCTTGTCCTCTTGCTGTGCATTCCCAATTGGGGAAGGGCGTCCTACAAAAGACCCCTGTCCGGTTGGGGGGTGGGGGGTTGCAGGAAGCCCAGCCGGAGGAAGGGGCGGGGGAGGGGAGAGGGGGGGGTTGCTGTTTGCATTCTTTCACCCAATGGTTTCTTTTCCTTGTGTTTTTTCGCATACCTTTTTGAATTGGTCACTTGCCTTTTGCTTTTGCTGGTCTGTCTTGGCATTGATGAAGTTCCTTATTAGTTTGTCCGCTGTTGTGATCTGTGCAATTTTTCTGTCATCGCATAAGCCGATGATATTTCTGATTTGAGTTTTTGGTTGCTTTATTAAGTCTGCTCTTATAGAAATCATACACTGTCTCTAATGCTTTTACACCACGTTGGATGGTCTTACTCATGTCACTATAATTAGGTTATAAAAATCTGTTTTTTATGTTTAACTGTTTTTTAAATAAATAATTTTGAGGAAAAATGTTGTTCAGAAAACTCACTTTAAAAAACACTATAATATACAGTATAGTATAGTAATATGTCTATGAAAACCCCGGAGGATATGACAATGGGCTTGGTTGTTTTCTTGGTTCACTGACTGTAAGTACATAGGGTTTCTCAGGTTGCTTTGAAGACACTGCCAACGGCAATGCTGCTCACGATCGTCTCCTTCAGCTTCTAGATTGCTAAAGGGCGTGGAAGAGATAAGAGAACAGTTGGAAATTTACAACCGGCTGTATTACTACAAGCGAAGACAAGAGGAAGGCTATATGCAGAAAAAAACGCGATTCTGCCCTCAAGTGCATTCAAAAGAAGTTGTTGAAACAATATCTACATGACAACAATATCAATACCACAATAGAGGTTTTAACCAAAGAGCAACTGGCAGAATTAACAGCAGCAAGAATAAGAAAGGACCTAAGTATGACATGAGTAATGCTAAAGTTGTGATGCCCATGAAAACAGAAGAACGCTGATTGAATTTTAGAAATAAGATTAAATCAATGTTTTGTATTGTACTTTTCTGAGTAAACAAGAAACATTTAATGATGTGTATTACGATCGTGCAGGATTTGGGAGCAGACAGAGGACCTTCAAGGAAGCACGAGAAAAAGATAAAAACATAACCACTGACGATGTTAATGAGATTTTCAAGAAGAACGTGGAGGCAAAAAGAAAACCTGCGGGACGGAACAGTTTTGTAGCACCACATTCGGCATACGAGTATCACATGGACTTGTTGTTTAATTATAAATGATCTGGAAGACCAAAGGTTTAAGGTTGGTATGATCATGATAGATGTCTTTGATAAGTTTATGCATGTGGTGGCAATAGAAAGCAAAAAAGAAGAGGATTTAGCAAGTGGAATGATTGAGTGTCTGCATAAAATGGGGAAAAAGCCGAAAAATCTTGTATACCGACGATGAAGGTGCCCCACCAAAAGAGTCCGTTCAAACATATTGAAAGAACAGAAAATAGAGCACCATAGGACAAGGGCACATGCAAATTTCAGTGAGAGGGCGATCAGAAATTTCAAGGACATGCTATATAGAAAAGTTGAGGCTGACGAGAACAAGGGCAAAAGTAATATTCAATGGACTGACTATATTTTTGAAATAAAGATTACATATAAGCTCAAATGAAATATTCCGCAACAGAATTCACGCCAAAAGAGGCGCGGAAGCCCAGGAATCAATTTGCCGTCAGGTTGAGTTTTTCTAGTAGTAGTAAACGGAGTAGGATATATCCAGAGATTGATAAGGGTGACGAAGTTAAGATATTTCGGAAGCGAAAACCGAATGAGAAAGAAAGGATCGGAAATTTCAGTAGAAATGTGTATACCATCGAAAGAATTGAGAAGAAATTGTGTCAAAGTCACTATTATGTAAAGATTTTGATTTGCAAATTTGCATTTGCGACACATAGTCACTTTTTCATGTTCAACTGCTTTCATTGTAATAACATTTATGAATTCGTTAATGATTTCTTCCTGCTCTTCTTCGGTGTATGATAATATAAATAGATGTTTTTCTTTAAATGCTTTTCTGACGAACGTTTTTTCTTGAGATAACTATACCCGTCAGCAACTCGAAACGCAAATAAGGTCTTGATTGCCCTTCTTATTTGCATAACTTGCCACTACCTGAAAGTGCTATTAACACCATCTGCAAATTCAATGAAGGCAAACCTATGTATATCCTGCAGGAATATGGAGAAAGTGCAAAGAACAAGGAAACCCACAAATTTAGTTAAATTTAAACCCTTTTTCAGCACACAAGAAAGTTGTAAATCATACTCTGAATGGAGATACCAGCAATTACAACCGACAAACCCATAATGAAATTAGGAGTTGTTATAATACATTATACCAAATTGCATTTAGCATTTCCAGAATATGGCAAAACATTCAAGAAACGATCGGATACTACTGCTGTAGACGAGTGGGCCACCGAAAGTGTTCGAGGGCTCGCTCAGGCTGCCTGTTTCTCCGTCTCAGGCTACGAGACTGTCTAGTGGCAAGGGAACAAATCTAGGTCAGTGCGGCTGGGCCACACATATCGTGGCCTCCCTAATGAGGTTGGAGGTTCTGATGGATCAGTGGCCTCCCTAGTGAGGTTGGAGGTTCTGATGGATCATCAGCTGAACAAATGGACACGTGCACATTGGCAGCTCGTCTCATCAAAGCTTGGTGGTCTTACCACCCCATCCGTGCAGTTGACTATCGGCATAGTTGTGGCAATGGTTGAACATGTGGTACTTTCCTTGATGATTCTTGCCACTGTCGTCCTTCAATTGACGGATTGTGGGGCCATTACCATTGTAGTGAGTGACCTCGTGGTACGTTGCCCCAGGACGAGGCTTGCCGTTGCCACCATCGAACCACTTCACATTGCCCTTGCTGTTCTTCTCGGTGCGGAGAGCGCTTTTCGAGCCACTGTGGATGTGATCAACACCGTGGTGCAGTCCCACGTGCCAGCCCCAGCTCGATTGCACTTGGCATTTGTCGAAGGGACCACTCTGGTGCCAATATGACGGCCTGCCATCATTGCTTTGGGCGAACTTGCCTTGGGTAGATCAAAACAATGTGTTCTCAAGAACTCTACGGGGGACTTCATAGTGTGTGGGACTTGGCTTTGGTTTCGACGTTTTCTGGTTTTGGGTTTCGGGTTGAGGGCTTCAGGTTTGTAGGCTTGACATCGTGTTTTGGGACTCCATAAGCCCTAAACCTCAAACCCTAAGCCTCAAACCCCAAACCCTAAACCACGAAGAGGCTTAGGGTTTATAGGGTTCAGAGCTTCAGATGGTGAGGCTTATGGCTCAGCGGCTGTTAGAATAGTCGATCTTGGGGCTTCGGGTTTGAAGTGTAAAGCAGAAGTCGATCCAAAGGCTCCCAACTGGACAGCCGGTAGGGAGGAGGTTTTGGGTTCAAGGGCTTACCCAAAGGGTGCAGATACCTTTATAGGAATACTGGGTCCGAGAATACTATATTTGAACTCAACAGTCACTTCCAGATCAGGCCAAGTTTCCCGGGTGGGAATTGTTGGAACTCGCGCTGCTGCCGCTGCTGCCCATGGCCAGCAACACGCCTAACACCCAAACCCAGACACCAGAGATGACCTTGAAGTTTGCAGAGCCGAATGTAGTGCACGCAAGATGTTCAACTGCAACTTCTGTCTTATTTACAGTACAGGGCAGGACAAGGCGCGCCACAACAGAGAATCACACAGCCAAGGCAAACGGGGTCCTTCTATCTTGAGAGCGTCGGCGAGGTTCTTGGTCTGGTGACTCTGGTGGCTGTGCACGCCTGGGAACTGTTGATGCCGAACCTGACCAGGGTGAGGGAATGCTCCTACCGACCGGCCGCAATGGCTTTTATCTGAGCATGTGCATGACAATCGTGGAGCAGCAGTGAGTGGCAGTGGGCGTGATGAGAAGGATTGACGGGTTTAAGGGCATTAACGGAATTGTCAACTAAACGGGTGCCTGTTGGGATTATGGCCCAAAACAGGCAAGGGTTCTGCTAACTCGTATTGAGGGTCTGAGACCCGAGGATTTGAAGCCTTAGAAACTTTAAGGAGCTTAAAGGAGCCTCAGAAAGGCATAGATTTGTTAAGGCTTCCAGGGCTTTCGATTCGGAATGACTGCTCTTAAGGTTCTTTTTTGTTTCATGGCTGTGGGCTTCTCCAAAATAGGTTGCATTAAGGGTTTCCACGGGGTTTGGGCCGAAGGCTCGAGCCTTAGAGGCGGAAAAAAAACGGAGCTCCACATCGCTCATATATACCAAACAGCTCCCGGGACCTCCTTCAAGTTACCATCTAACAGGGATAAATGAAATAGTGCCAAAAATAGGACATGCTTGGATAACATGGACTCAGTACTTCGCAGCATGCGTAGTTGCTTCGTTGAACCACTGCACCAACAACCCCTCTGGCAATCTCAGCACTAAACCTTGACCCAACCCGATCTTCCGTCTGAGGCTCCAAGTCCCACCGGCGAGGTGGGCAGGTCAAAGCTCTCAGGGCAGTACTCCCATTGCGGCGACGAGGCCCAGGAACAATGAGCAGTCTGCAGGCGCGGTGCCTGCGTCCAGGCGCAAAGTTGATTCAGCGATAGTGAGGGCCTGAGCTGTCCGACGCTGGTCTGCTTTGCTCCACAATGACAAAAGAAGCCAACTTTGAACAGGAATCAAACATCTCGACCACTCTGCAGTTTGGGACATGTCGGAACTTCAACCACTGAGAATTCAGAATGGAGATACATGTGGATTTGGGGCGTACCTGGCTCTGCCAACTCAGAGCAGCTCAAAACGCAGCTCCATTCGAGGGGGGCTGGAGGGAGGGGGGGGTGGGACGGGGAAGCCGAAGAAAACGAACACTGGGGCCTAAAGCCCTCCTGCGAAATCTTGTCAATATCCCTCTGAGATCCCTGCCGCGGTCACACTCTGAGCCTGCGCGCAGAACGCCCCGGGACTGAATTCCTCTTCCAAAGCTTTTATTCATCCAAAGCCCTTTAGCCCGAAACGCTAAACACACCCTGCAATCCCTAAATTGAGTAGGGTTGTCGGTTCAACATGTTCATAATCAGTTGTAACTCTGGTTCCCTTTTAAAGCCCAAGAGCCAGCTCTCGTGTCGCCGAGCCCGAATCCACCCAAAGCCGCTTCCCGCCGCACCGCAAACCCTAAACCCTAGACCCCTAAATCCTGAACCCCCAAAACCCAAACAGCAAAAGCCGAGGCAAGACCCAAAGCTCGAGACCCCAGGTCAGAGCTCGCGCTTTGCGCCTTGGCCTGTGGCACCACAACGCCAAGAGCTTGGGGCCTGCCAACGGCACAAGGGCGGCTGGGGTTTCGATTTTAAGGTTTAAGGCATTGGGTTCAGAGTTTAGGGGTTCGTTGGGTCTAGGGTGCAATGTTGGACTTGCTTGAGTGTGCGCCCCCCCCCCCTCCCCCTGAACAGTCGAAGCTAATTTTGTCTGATTTTGTCCTTATTGCACGGTCTCGAGATTTTTTGGTGATTTCTAAAAAGGGAACGGCAACTGATGCAGGGTTCAGGGTTCGGGGTTTTGGGAGTTTAGGGTAGAGGGGTTCTGCCTTGGACCCTTGAGGTTGTGCCCTTGGGTTTTGGTGCCCCTTTGTAAGCATCCCTAAGCGAATATAGGGGTGCAACCTTAGGGGTACGAGTCTTCATCCCTTGATAGGGTGTGTCGATCCAAGGAGCCCTGGCTGGCTGCAGGGTTTTGGGTTTAGGGTTTAGGGTTTCGGGTTTAGGGTTAGGGTTTCAGGCTCAGGGCATAGGGCTTGGAGGGAGCAGGTGGCAAGTTGCAAGTCCTCAACATGTGCTTCTGACAGCTTCATGCTGCTCCCTCATAGCACATGGATGCTTTTCGGGGTAAGCCCCTTTTCAATCAGGTTCTCCTGGTCTTTTTTTAGGGAATGAGGAAATGAGGGACCTATAGAGGAGTCAACGGATGGATGCACATGCTGAGAAATTTCAAGGCCGCACCTGCCGCACCCAGGATCATGCCGCCGCGGATGCCGCAGGGGCTGCCAGCGCGCCAGCCTGAGCACTGTTGTTGTTGTTGTTGTTGTTGTTGTTGTTGTTGTTGTTGCTAAAATATTAAAAGAATTAATAATATTTAATAATATTATGGTGATGATTGTTCTTATCAAAATAATAGTATATAAACAGTAGTAATAGTAGCATAATTGCAATAATCGCAAATGCATTGAGGGTCGAGGGGCAAGAGGTGCCTAACTGCATGACACACACACACACACACACAAAACAGCTTGCGACTGTTGGACACCAAAGCCTGTACATAGCTCGACAGGAGACGACAGTCAACAACAGGTACCCCTCAGAATCGCGTGGATCAGGCTAAGGATGAACCGCATGACTTCAGGCAGCACACTGCAGCCCGTCACCCCTCCTCGGCCCGTGACGAAAAGCGACCAAGCAGGCACGTGCACAGCAGTCCGTGACCTGAATGCGCGGAACCCTAAACCCTAAACCCTAAACCCTAAACACTAAACCCTAAACCCTAAACCCTAAACCCTAAACCCTAACCCTAAAGGAGTCTGCCTCAGGAGGTGCAGAAAACCACGAGGCATGGCAGTGCTTGATGTGCTCATCGCCCTCATGAATGGCGGACTTGAGGGAAATGCCGGGATGTTTCCCCTGGTACTAACAGTCCTTCATAGGGATTACGATAGGGTGTACTGGTATCCCTAAGAGTCCTTAAAAGGGATTGCGATAGGGTGTACTACAATCCTATTAAGAACTGTTAGTATACGGGTGAACATCCCAAGCAAAATGCAAGAAGCTACCCCCCCAATATCGGAAGCCCTAAACCCTAAACCCTAAACCCTAAACCCTAAACCCTAAACCCTAACCCCCATACCCCTAATATCGTAGACCCCCAAATGCAAGTGAAGTGTGCAGCTGAAAGGTCGCCCCACGCGACTGGGCGCCGTGCGCCCGCTGGACTTGGGCGGGTCGGCCAGCATGAACTGGGAAGTTGCTCTACATGTAAGATAATACTAGTAATAGTATATGGTACTAGCAGTAATATTAAGAATAATAGTAGTAATGATAAGAAGAATAAAAATCAAAATCGAATATATAGACAGTAGTAATCATGGTAGCAATGATTGCAACAATAGCAATTGTATCAATAATGTTGTTCGTGTAAGGAAAGTAAGAATTGCATGTTGAAATAGCAAGAATAATCAAAAAGCAATGAATGGTATGTTCATGCTCGAGGCTTGAGCCAAATCCGTACATTCCTTGGTTGTCATTCAGGGTTCAGGGTTGAGGTTTTAGGGTTTAGGGTTTGGGGTTTAGGGTTTAGGGTTTAGGGAGGGCACCCCGCAGACATCTCGGCCATCGCAACCTAACAGCAAAGGGCTGGTTGATGAGCCAAGAGTTGCTCCACTTGGAGGTTCTTAGGTACTTATACGTACAAGTAGGGCTCTAAGTAGGGTTTAGGGTTTAGGGTTTAGGGTTTAGGGTTTAGGGGTTAGGGTTTAGGGTTTAGGGTTTAGGGTTTAGGGTTTAGGGTTTAGGGTTTAGGGTCTATGGTTATAGCCTTGTTCGATGTGCGAGGGGTGTCCTCCCTAAACCCTAAACCCGAAACCTTGAATTGTTCAGGGCTTGGGGGTTGGGATTTGAAGTTTCGGACTCAGGTTTCAGGGCTTGTGAGGGGTCGACGTAGACACTTCTTTCGTTTTCATTGCTGGTGACTGTCATGCTGGTTTCGGCACGCTGAAGTCGACGATTGAATATCGAAGTTGACCTTTCCAGCTGTTCACGATTCCGCATTCCGCACCGCCTCACTGCCTGTTTTTGACCGCAAAAAGGCCTATGGCAGCTGGAGGTTGCAAGATGTTCGACGCCTCGTGCATTTGGACTCTTCGACATCAACCGCAGAGTGTAACTTTTGGCCATACCATTGGGGCCCATGTTCTACTTCACCCAATGGCCCTGATGTGCACCGAGACAGAGATGCCGCCTATCCGAAGAGAGATACCAGTGTTGTGCTCGAAGGCTCGTCACAAGAGTTGGGCAGCCAGCGCTTGATGCCTCTCGATGTGCCTGTATCCGCGAGGCACAGCACTGGTCGCGATGTGCAGTGGTCGCACGAGGAAGGATCACTACAATCTCCGCTGCGACATTCTGTAACCAAACTCCTTGAAATCCATCTCGAAAACGCGATTGATGAGCAAGATGGAGCTGTTGGACAAATCAGCCGTAGTTACAGAATGACGAGACCTCCCTGCAGGCGAGAAGAACTCCATCTCCGACACACAAGCCGCTTCATCAAAGGAAGGGTCACGCTTGAGAAGGAAGGCGCAAAAAGAGGTGGTTAAGTGCTCTGTCTTCAACACGTTCGCACACATCCTCTGTCCGCCTGTAGTTGTCATGAAGGCGGTCGCAGGCAAGACGATGTTGTGGTTCCGCAGATCACGGTCCTTCCAAGCATTCCTGACATTCGCCCGGACCCAGCTGTTGAGCTTGCTCGCATTGGTCACACCTCGATGTCGGGCAGCACTCACAACACGGGTGTATGGGTTCCTTGCAGTGCAGAAGGTGTCCTCATGATCATATGGCCACCAATCCGCGGAGCAGTGGAACTCGGCCCGGCATCGTTTGCCAAGGCCGTACTGGTTTTCTAGATGGCTTTCCCAAATCATCAGGCCGTGTCTCACAGAGTACGCGGTAACCGACATGCCTCCAGTCTTGGGAATGTGCATGAACCGCAAAGAATAGAGTGGAGAAGCGCGCGGCGTCTCTGTGCTTAGTCCAAACTTTCGAGCTGTTCTGAGATTCAAAACCGCCAGTTGCCGAAAGACAGGCCAGCGTGATGAGGCTATCAGGCTCACCGGAATTAATCGAAACATATGCTCGAATGCAGCTTGCCAAAGGGAATCCGACCTCTGAATGTACATCCATGCCACCAAGGAGAGCAAGCCACACGGGCAGTCGAACCATCCCAAATCATGCTTAGCAAAGACCAGGCTGGACATACCCATGATGTGCTCCGACATTGACGCCTCCTCCAAGGTCCCGAAGCTCCCTTGCCGCATTGAAGTGTAGCTGTGCTTCTGGGAGTTCAGGGCCGCAGCGGAGTTGAGCAGGTGCGCGAGTTTCTCCCAGGTGTACCTACCAACACAGTCCACACGACTTGGGTCGAGGTCTGGGGCCGGCGCTTCGACCAAAGCTGCGGCGACGTCTGGCAGGTCGATGGTCAAACCGCTGGCGTCGATGAGGCAGCAGCGCGACCAGGATCTGCGAGCGCTGCCCAGGCTGCCCACGCCCCAGCATGCCGGATTGCCCCCGAAGCCCGTGCAACAGCGGTCATAGGTGACCTCGTGATCCCAGCACGCTGGATTGCCGACCTTTGCGGCGCTGGGCAAACATATCTGCACGATCACAATGAGAATAGATCCAGCGCGGAGCGAGTACATGTACATGGCAGGGCCAGCGATTGGGATACATGCCACAAAGTTCAAGCTTTAGGTTGAGGGGGGTTGAGGGCTAACGTAGATCAAGCAAGGCAAAGTTGCATGTAGGGTTTGGGGGTTCATGGTTGGAGCTTTCAATATGGCCACCAGAAAAACAACCTTTGCCTGACTTGAGGCACAAGGCCGCGAATACCTTCACTGCTGGGGAAAAGGTTTCGAAGCCGGTACACTTCCCTGTTTCGGAGGGACAAGAGCCCCTAATCGCGGGGTCGGCTTGTAAGGGGTGTTGGGCTTGAGCAAAGGAACCTCACACGAACTGCGAGAAAGCAGGATTTCTTGCGCCCTATAGGGGGTTTTAGGGTAACCGGTTAACCGGTCTTAAAGCACGACTGACTGTACCCGAATTCGTACATGAACATGACACTTCCAAATAGCAAGCAAGCATTTGTAAAGGTCGGCCTCTTTATCTGTTACCCTTACACCTTAATATAGCCCTTAGATACCCTCATAAGAACCCCGAATATATGCCATCCAAAACAAAAACCCTACTTAAAGAGACCACCAACCCCTACTAAGCAAGCAGCCCTAGAGATAACGGGATCTCCAAGACCGCAAGGCAAACCCCTCTTCTGACACCCGGGAGTAGTCTGGTCTGGAGCTTCCCTCGCGCCGGTCAAGAGCCTTGTGGCGTCGCCAGATGGGCTGCAGAGCTGGGGTGCGCAGACCTCATATCGTCATAACGTGGGGCGGAAGCCAGATTCTTGACTTGAGGTGTTTCAGTGCGCCCCACCCGTCCGCGCACTAGTTCGCAACAGCATGGGGGTTGAGAGCCCAGAGTCCGCCGAAGCTGAAAGCGCCTCCCATCGCTGCGATTGACGAACCACGCCTCCACCGTATTGGTCAGCATGGGCACTACTGTGGCGGGCTCGGCCGGTCCGACTGCAGGAGCCTGACCCCGGCTGCAAAACATGCACACCAACTGCCGCATCAACCACTTGTACTTGTAGCGTTCAGCTCATCCTCGCCGCTGCCGCCGGTCGCGGCCACTCTTGCTGCGACCCTTCTTCCTGCCTTGCCCCTTCTCTCGGCTCTTTTCTGTAGGATCCTGCTGAGACTGCAGCAGCAGGGGACTTTGGAGCTCCATCTGCAAGATGGCTCGGCGGCCTGAGGTCACTGGTGAGATCCAGTGCTCGCACTGGTGGCCGTAGAAGAAGACGGCGTCCCCTGGCTGCAGAACCACCCGGCGCTTCGGCTCACCTTTGAAGAAGTTCGTGCCTCCATGGAAGTCTGAAGGATCTGATAGCAGAACCACAACGGACACCATGGACCCATTGTCGTTGTGCTTTGCGATCTTGCCTTCGCAGCCTAACTTCTCTACGTCGTATTCGATGTATTCGATCTGTGGGAGTGTATAGTCAAATGGCCCCAGATTCTTCCAGATGTGCTGGTCCACGGACCAGGCTGTGAGTAAGAGCTTCTGATACCTCGAGACGAGCCAGGAGAAACTCGGGAGCGCATCGGGGAACTCTCCCCACGACCACAAACACGACCCACTTGCCCTGACGATCCCTAGCCCCATTCCCATGGAACAGAAGAACCTTTTGGCTGCAAGGGCTCAGGCTTTGGGCATCAGGCGGCTCGAAACCCTCCAACCTTGCCACTCGCATCCGGGGCACAGAGCCGGATCGACCTCACTCAGGGCAGACTCGATGCGCCTGACGTGGTGCGTGAAGACCAGGCCCTCGTGGCGGTCCTTCACCTCCCAAGACTTGGCGTGGGCAGCCAGGCGGTTGAGCATGCCGATCTCCTCTTCCTTGTAGGGCTTACGGGGGCTTTGGGGGTTTTAGGGCATCAGGGGGTTGTAGGGGATTAAGTTGAGGTTTCGGGATGATTCTGGACGTTTCGGGTTTAGGCTTTTGGGTTTAGGGTTTAGGGTTTAGGGTTTGGGGTTTAGGGTTCAGGGTTTAGGGTTTTGGGTTTAGGGTTTAGGGTTTAGCTTTCGAACGGCATTAGCTGATACACCACCTTCCGAGCTGTTGCCAGACTTGGAAGCTTTCAGGTTTAGGGGCACCATATACAACTGCTATCATGGTCCAGTATTGGCCTTCACATTCTGCACCCCCTTCTTCAGGGATCTCCTGAAAAATAAGAGTGCAGGATTTGGTGCTGAATGATCTTTCGAGGATGCTCCAGAGGCTAGAAGACCTCATGGGGGCTAATCCTGTGGACGGTTCATGTCAACCACAACACTTTCTACATTTTAGGCTGCCAACACGCTCTTGACAAAGCATCTGGGTCCTGGAAACTTCCCTAAGCTGCAAGACGAGCCTCAGCAAGGAACTGCGTAAGCACACCCAAAGCCAAGTTCGCATTCGGGCCAGGTACCTGCTGAAGGTCGCAATGTCAAGCTGCCAGCTGGTCGAAGTTCCAGCTTGAAGTGGGGATGTTGGAGTCAGTAAGTGAACGTTGGCTTCTTGGCAGGGTCAAACCCACGTGGTCTACTTTGACCGGAAAAATGATTCCGAACTGCACTTGCAGAAGCCCTGAATCCCCAACAAGATGATCACACTCTGGGGATTCTCCGCGGATAGTGTGGGGCTGGGCGCTCTATGGATTCTGTTGGGATACTCGGGTTTGGCACTCCAGGAATGCTCTGGGGATACTCTGGGGTTGAGCTCTCTTGGGGCTGGACACTCTTCCAAGCATTCTCCGGAATACTCGCTTCCGTTGGCAGGTCAGAGTAGTACGATGTGCTTTGCTTTCTGGGTGGAAGCCCAGTCGCCCCCAACATCGGGGCTGAACCTGGTTGCTTTGGCTTCGTGGGCTCCTTCGGCCTTTTGTGCCGGCATCATAAATCGGCTTGTGGCATCTGGTCGAGTAATTTTGCTTTTGTTACGGACCTTCCTTCGCGGCAGTCCGGTGTCTCTGGATATAGTCTGGGCTTCGGGGACCTTTTGCGCCCAGGGACCCTCCGGGGGTTATCTGGGGTTGTGCACTCCGATACTCCCTCTGACAAAAGACTCTGCGGGGATACTCTTGGGTGGGATACAGGTGATGGGCGAGGAGTAGAGCGGGTGAGGAGAAGTTTACTGAAAATGGCTGAAAACGGCTGAAAATCGAACAACTCCACACCACACCGAGGATAAGGAACAAAATTGCACATAACGGTCATTCTAAGCCAGCACATAATCGCTGACACATGTTGGCACACGTCTCCTTCTCCAAGTTTGGCAACTGAGGCAAGTCGGCATGCCGCGGCGACCAAGCCACCTCTGCACACGGACTCTAGACTCTGAACAGGCAACTTCAGACCACGGAAACCCCAAAAAAACAATCCTGTCATGCTTGGAAGGCATTGCGCCGAGCCGCTGTTGGTCTCCTCACCGTTGCAAAGCCCGTTGGCCGCACAGCCACGAGGGAGCAGGCGATGGCGCAAGCGGCGGGCCATGTCACCCTGAAACTCCGGACCATCCTAGGCTTTAGGGAGCGTCCTAAGCGTCTTAGGCTTACTGCTTTTGGAATTGGCAGCGGGGATCAACTGAAACTCCACCCCGGTGCATCGTGACAAGTCCAAACAATATCTGCCTCCAAAGCCGTATGCCTCAACGGACTGACAATCGACTGATCCTATCTTTCAGACGGGCCCTACACCCGACACCTTGAAACCTACAGCGCTTTAGACCGGAAAACCTAAGGTCACGCACGATGGCTTGCGCTGCTGGTCTGCAAGTGAAGGCTTGAAATGTTTCAGGTCTTCGCAGGTGAAGCATTGCCCATCCACCCACGCAAAACTCTGCCGCTACAGCGACCATCCCTTGGGGAGGAATGCGACGACCGACCCCTCAAGCGATACACTGACATGGAGCTTATATCGTGGTTGGAGTTGAGTGTCCGAGACATCTGGCTGCAAATTGAGTCAACACGCTTGGGTAGCCAGAAACATCCGCGATGTTTGTTATTGACAACTCTATAAGACACCCCTTCGAGATGGAGGTTTGGTCTTACTGGCCCTTTTGGGATCAGCCCCCGGAGGCCAGCCTCTATCACCATGGCAGGTGGAGTAGTCGACCACAGGCTGTGTTGGGGCACAGACCACTGGGAAATGGCAGCACATGCTCATCCGTCCGGCCGTCCTCACTCCCGCCCTCGCTCCCTCCCCGTCTTCTGCTCTCGCTCACTGGGTCTCTCTTTGTTTCCCCGGGCAGGTAGTCGCCCCAGAGCGGAGTTTGTTGTTCTTGGGTCGGTAGGCTGCGCATGTTGACACTCAACAAAGTGGACCGACTGCTTGCTTCCTAGCTTGCTTGCTTGTCCGACGATTGCTTGCTTGCTTTGCCCCAGACAAGAACAACTCTCAACAGCAATCATATCGACCCCTCTGCGCGATGGGACTTTTTTTCTCGGTTGCCTAGAGTGCTTCTGCCCGGAGCTCAGTGAACAGGAACAGCGCGTCCCTGCCATCCAGGATAACAAGCCATGGTTACACAGTGGCTAGCACTCGCCTAAAACATCCTAAAACCCCACTCAAGCAGAACACCGGCGCCTGCCGTCATCCAAGCGCACATTGATGACGTACTGCAGTTTGCCGTTCCTGCATGAAATACATGAAGAATTCCATGCACGACGGCATGTCGGTTCTGGTTTTCTAGGGCTTGCAGGCTTTAAAATTTGTGTTTTCAAGGTTTAAGGTGTTTAAGGTTTCAGGTTGTTTGTTTTCAGGGTCTCGGTCCTTTATTTGTGCGTGTTAGGAGCTTGGGGTTTCTAGGGTTGATAGGTTGTGCTTGTTTGCTTGCTGTCCTGCCTTACGAAAGAAGGAAACAGCAGACGAAGAACTAAAACGCCGACAACAAGAACGGTGAAAATACCGAGCCCTCCGCAGCACAGCCCGGCATGCGCGCCTGAACTGTCGGAAGACTGGGAATATCGGGTGGCCGGGCGCCTTGGCCACCTTGCCACTGCAGCCCGCATAGGACCTTGGCGTGGGTGCGAAAAACCCGGGTCTTTGGACAAAGCCCAAAATTCTAGAAACCTGCGTCAAATTCGTCAAATGCCCCTGAAAAAACACACGCAGCCGTGGCGCCCCTCCGCAACGCGCACTCGGCTTCCCAGTCGGCCGACCGTGCTCTCGAGCGCGGCATCCTCCTTGAATGGCCAGCATTCCTCGAGCGAGGTCGCTTTGTCTTCTGCCAACGTTCTCGCTGTGTAGTGCTTCTCGTGCACCTGCGCTGGAACTGCTCATCTTTTAATCTTTTCAGCCCGTGGCACCTGTCACAACCTCGAAACAGCTAGAAGTAGCAAGTAAGCCTAAGCAAGCGTTGGAACCAGTGCTGCAGCCTGCATGATAACAGCGTACCGGAGCCGCAAGCTCTTCGGCTGGATCGTGTCACTGAGGACCACGAGGTCTCCCACCTTGGCGCATGTACAGCGAAAACCTTAGCTATCCTAAGAACACGATCCGATACGTTTTGGTAGGGCTTCCATGCAGCATGCATGCGCAGCCTATACTAAAGGATGTTGTTTGATTTATCTGAGGAAGCGCTGTGCATCAAGGACCTCAAAGGCAGTCATGATCAGCTTACCTTGCGCCCTCCCCGCCTCTGGCTCGCCCGTCGGCTTCTTGGGGACCTTGAAGCCCATTCCGCCGAGCTCCGCCATCAGCGCCTTAAGCGCTTCCAAGGCCTCAGCCTGGCCCGGTAGTTCCTGCCGAGGTTCCGGAGGTGAGCTAGCGTCTTCTGCGGGCTCTGGAGCCGGCTCCGAAGCCGGCTTCGGAGCAGTCTCGGGAACGTCGGCGTCTTCTTCGCAAGCTGTTGGATCTTGAAGTTCCATGAAAGGCCTCCCCGGGCCATACGAGACAGGCCTACCCTTCGGGTAGACCAGCTCGGGAGCCGGGGCAAAGGCTTCAGCAACCGCGTTCGTTGCTTCCATTGGCTCACATGCCTCAAGGTCGACTGGAGCCTCCTCAGTCCGGTCGACCGGGGCAGGCTCGCCTGCTCCAGCTTGAAGCAACCCCTTCTTGGGGTGCGCCACAGCCGGTGCCCTCGGCGGCCCGAGAAGGTGAGGCAGCTGCATTGGCGCAGCTGCCTTCACCACCACACTGGCAGGCTTCACTACCACACGAATGATGCGCCGAGTCACCAAGCCAGGTGCTTGCACTGGCCTTGCCACCACACGAATCGTGCGGCGAGTCACTATGACAGGTGCTGGCTGCCATCCCCAAGCATAGGTCGGGGCGCCGGCTGGTTGTACCAGCATCTGCGGCTTCAATGGGGCTGCCCATACATAGCCCTCCATGGACATTGCTATGGCGGGGCCAAAAAAACGACAGCCTCCAGAAGTTTAACGTGTAGGGTTTAGGGTTTAAGGTTTAGGATTTAGGATTTAAGGTTTAGGGTCAGATGCTTGGAATGTTGTTGATCTGCGGAGAGGCTTTTGTAAAAACCTAGACGGCCTGCATGGCAACTCACTGGGGCCGAGAAGTAAAATGCATCCGTTCTGCAGAAGTTCCTCTCATCTGTTTGGGGGGGGGGCGACGTAGCACAAGATGCTGTTTCTACTGAAAGTTCTCGTACCTCCTTCTCGCCCCAAAACTACAGTATAGCTGGGGATTGCAGCTTTCCATGCATGTCTAAAGTGTCTTGAAGCTTCTTCGCAGATGTTTTGACTGATGACTAAGTGCGTGTTAGCGCGCACATTGTCCATGATAAATACACAAGGGTGAAAACTTTCAGGATAACCTCTACGTGACGTTGCTTGACAAAGTCTATGTTAACAAGGTTCCCTGAGTTTCGAGGCTATCAAGAGAAGGCTCCAATAAACAGAAACAACCCTGTTCTCCGAAATTCCAGTGTTTGGGGATTGCAGGTGCAGAGTGAATGTAGGTCCTCTGAGTTTTCCAAAAGCATGGGAGTCTTTGCCAGCATCCTGTAGTCATCAACACCCGACTTGAGGTCCTAGGACCTAGGAGGCCACAGCCACAAGCCACAACCCGTGCACCTCCTTTTTCTTATGACTTGGGAGGCTTTCCGTGGCGCTGGAGGTGGAAAGGCGGGGGGGGGGGGGGCAACTCCCCACATTCGCAACAGTGCAAATGCGTGAGAGTGTGTCACTGTTAGGCTGCGCATGTTGACACTCAACAAAGTGGACCGACTGCTTGCTTCCTAGCTTGCTTGCGTGCTTGCTTGCTTGTCCGACGATTGTTTGCTTGCTTTGCCCTCGAACAACAACAACTCTGAACAGCAATCATATCGACCCCTCCGCGCGATGGGACTTTTTTTCTCTCTTGCCTAGAGTGCTTCTGCCCGGAGCTCGGTGAACAGGAACAGCGCGTCCCTGCCATCCAGGATAACAAGCCATGGTTACACAGTGGCTAACTGCCGCACTAACACTCCCCTAAAACATCCTAAAGCCCCACTCAAGCAGAACACCGGCGCCTGCCGTCATCCAAGCGCACATTGATGACGTACTGCAGTTTGCCGTTCCTGCATGAAATACATGAAGAATTTCAAGCGCGACGGCATGTCGGTTCTGGCTTCTAGGGCTTCCAGGCTTTAAAATTTGTGTTTTCAAGGTTTAAGGCGTTTTAAGGTTTCAGGTTGTTTGTTTTCAGGGTCTCGGTCCTTTATTTGTGCGTGTTAGGAGCTTGGGGTTTCTAGGGTTGATAGGTTGTGCTTGTTTGCTTGCTGTCCTGCCTTACGAAAGAAAGACACAACAGACAAAGAACTAAAACGCCGACAACATGAACGGTGAAAATACCGAGCCCTCCGCAGCACAGCCCGGCATGCGCGCCTGAACTGTCGGAAGACTGGGAATATCGGGTGGCCGGGCGCCTTGGCCACCTTGCCACTGCAGCCCGCATAGGACCTTGGCGTGGGTGCGAAAAACCCGGGTCTTTGGACAAAGCCCAAAATTCTAGAAACCTGCGTCAAATTCGTCAAATGCCCCTGAAAAAACACACGCAGCCGTGGCGCCCCTCCGCAACGCGCACTCGGCTTCCCAGTCGGCCGACCGTGCTCTCGAGCGCGGCATCCTCCTTGAATGGCCAGCATTCCTCGAGCGAGGTCGCTTTGTCTTCTGCCAACGTTCTCGCTGTGTAGTGCTTCTCGTGCACCTGCGCTGGAACTGCTCATCTTTTAATCTTTTCAGCCCGTGGCACCTGTCACAACCTCGAAACAGCTAGAAGTAGCAAGTAAGCCTAAGCAAGCGTTGGAACCAGTGCTGCAGCCTGCATGATAACAGCGTACCGGAGCCGCAAGCTCTTCGGCTGGATCGTGTCACTGAGGACCACGAGGTCTCCCACCTTGGCGCATGTACAGCGAAAACCTTAGCTATCCTAAGAACACGATCCGATACGTTTTGGTAGGGCTTCCATGCAGCATGCATGCGCAGCCTATACTAAAGGATGTTGTTTGATTTATCTGAGGAAGCGCTGTGCATCAAGGACCTCAAAGGCAGTCATGATCAGCTTACCTTGCGCCCTCCCCGCCTCTGGCTCGCCCGTCGGCTTCTTGGGGACCTTGAAGCCCATTCCGCCGAGCTCCGCCATCAGCGCCTTAAGCGCTTCCAAGGCCTCAGCCTGGCCCGGTAGTTCCTGCCGAGGTTCCGGAGGTGGGCTAGCGTCTTCTGCGGGCTCTGGAGCCGGCTCCGAAGCCGGCTTCGGAGCAGTCTCGGGAACGTCGGCGTCTTCTTGGCAAGCTGTTGGGTCTTGAAGTTCCATGAAAGGCCTCCCCGGGCCATACGAGACAGGCCTACCCTTCGGGTAGACCAGCTCGGGAGCCGGGGCAAAGGCTTCAGCAACCGCGTTCGTTGCTTCCATTGTCTCACATGCCTCAAGGTCGACTGGAGCCTCCTCAGTCCGGTCGACCGGGGCAGGCTCGCCTGCTCCAGCTTGAAGCAACCCCTTCTTGGGGTGCGCCACAGCCGGTGCCCTCGGCGGCCCGAGAAGGTGAGGCAGCTGCATCGGCGCAGCTGCCTTCACCACCACACTGGCAGGCTTCACTACCACACGAATGATGCGCCGAGTCACCAAGCCAGGTGCTTGCACTGGCCTTGCCACCACACGAATCGTGCGGCGAGTCACTACGACAGGCGCTGGCTGCCATCCCCAAGCATAGGTTGGGGCGCCGGCTGGTTGTACCAGCATCTGCCGCTTCAATGGGGCTGCCCATACATAGCCCGCCATGGACATTGCTATGGCGGGGCCAAAAAAACGACAGCCTCCAGAAGTTTAACGTGTAGGGTTTAGGGTTTAAGGTTTAGGATTTAGGATTTAAGGTTTAGGGTCAGATGCTTGGAATGTTGTTGATCTGCGGAGAGGCTTGGCTTTCGTAAAAACCTAGACGGCCTGCATGGCAACTCACTGGGGCCGAGAAGTAAAACGCATCCGTTCTGCAGAAGTTCCCCTCATCTGTTTGGGGGGGGCGACGTAGCACAAGATGCTGTTTCTACTGAAAGTTCTAGTACCTCCTTCTCTCCCCAAAACTACAGTATAGCTGGGGATTGCAGCTTTCCATGCATGTCTAAAGTGTCTTGAAGCTTCTTCGCAGATGTTTTGACTGATGACTAAGTGCGTGTTAGCGCGCAAATTGTCCATGACAAATACACAAGGGTGAAAACTTTCAGGATAACCTCTACGTGACGTTGCTTGACAAAGTGTACGTATACTATGTTAACAAGGTTCCCTGAGTTTCGAGGCTATCAAGAGAAGGCTCCAATAAACAGAAACAACCCTGTTCTCCGAAATTCCAGTGTTTGGGGATTGCAGGTGCAGAGTGAATGTAGGTCCTCTGAGTTTTCCAAAAGCATGGGAGTCTTTGCCAGCATCCTGTAGTCATCAACACCCGACTTGAGGTCCTAGGACCTAGGAGGCCACAGCCACAAGCCACAACCCGTGCACCTCCTTTTTCTTATGACTTGGGAGGCTTTCCGTGGCGCTGGAGGTGGAAAGGCGGGGGGGGGGGGGGCAACTCCCCACATTCGCAACAGTGCAAATGCGTGAGAGTGTGTCACTGTTAGGCTGCGCATGTTGACACTCAACAAAGTGGACCGACTGCTTGCTTCCTAGCTTGCTTGCGTGCTTGCTTGCTTGCTTGTCCGACGATTGTTTGCTTGCTTTGCCCTCGAACAACAACAACTCTGAACAGCAATCATATCGACCCCTCCGCGCGATGGGACTTGTTTTTCTCTCTTGTCTAGAGTGCTCAATCTGCCCGGAGCTCGGTGAACAGGAACAGCGCGTCCCTGCCATCCAGGATAACAAGCCATGGTTACACAGTGGCTAGCACTCGCCTAAAACATCCTAAAACCCCACTCAAGCAGAACACCGGCGCCTGCCGTCATCCAAGCGCACATTGATGACGTACTGCAGTTTGCCGTTCCTGCATGAAATACATGAAGAATTTCACGCGCGACGGCATGTCGGTTCTGGCTTTCTAGGGCTTCCAGGCTTTAAAATTTGTGTTTTCAAGGTTTAAGGTGTTTAAGGTTTCAGGTTGTTTGCTTTCAGGGTCTCGGTCCTTTATTTGTGCGTGTTAGGAGCTTGGGGTTTCTAGGGTTGATAGGTTGTGCTTGTTTGCTTGCTGTCCTGCCTTACGAAAAAAGGAAACAGCAGACAAAGAACTAAAACGCCGACAGCAAGAACGGTGAAAATACCGACCCCTCCGCAGCACAGCCCGGCATGCGCGCCTGAACTGTCGGAAGACTGGGAATATCGGGTGGCCGGGCGCCTTGGCCACCTTGCCACTGCAGCCCGCATAGGACCTTGGCGTGGGTGCGAAAAACCCGGGTCTTTGGACAAAGCCCAAAATTCTAGAAACCTGCGTCAAATTCGTCAAATGCCCCTGAAAAAACACACGCAGCCGTGGCGCCCCTCCGCAACGCGCACTCGGCTTCCCAGTCGGCCGACCGTGCTCTCGAGCGCGGCATCCTCCTTGAATGGCCAGCATTCCTCGAGCGAGGTCGCCTTGTCTTCTGCCAACGTTCTCGCTGTGTAGTGCTTCTCGTGCACCTGCGCTGGAACTGCTCATCTTTTAATCTTTTCAGCCCGTGGCACCTGTCACAACCTCGAAACAGCTAGAAGTAGCAAGTAAGCCTAAGCAAGCGTTGGAACCAGTGCTGCAGCCTGCATGATAACAGCGTACCGGAGCCGCAAGCTCTTCGGCTGGATCGTGTCACTGAGGACCACGAGGTCTCCCACCTTGGCGCATGTACAGCGAAAACCTTAGCTATCCTAAGAACACGATCCGATACGTTTTGGTAGGGCTTCCATGCAGCATGCATGCGCAGCCTATACTAAAGGATGTTGTTTGATTTATCTGAGGAAGCGCTGTGCATCAAGGACCTCAAAGGCAGTCATGATCAGCTTACCTTGCGCCCTCCCCGCCTCTGGCTCGCCCGTCGGCTTCTTGGGGACCTTGAAGCCCATTCCGCCGAGCTCCGCCATCAGCGCCTTAAGCGCTTCCAAGGCCTCAGCCTGGCCCGGTAGTTCCTGCCGAGGTTCCGGAGGTGGGCTAGCGTCTTCTGCGGGCTCTGGAGCCGGCTCCGAAGCCGGCTTCGGAGCAGTCTCGGGAACGTCGGCGTCTTCTTGGCAAGCTGTTGGGTCTTGAAGTTCCATGAAAGGCCTCCCCGGGCCATACGAGACAGGCCTACCCTTCGGGTAGACCAGCTCGGGAGCCGGGGCAAAGGCTTCAGCAACCGCGTTCGTTGCTTCCATTGTCTCACATGCCTCAAGGTCGACTGGAGCCTCCTCAGTCCGGTCGACCGGGGCAGGCTCGCCTGCTCCAGCTTGAAGCAACCCCTTCTTGGGGTGCGCCACAGCCGGTGCCCTCGGCGGCCCGAGAAGGTGAGGCAGCTGCATCGGCGCAGCTGCCTTCACCACCACACTGGCAGGCTTCACTACCACACGAATGATGCGCCGAGTCACCAAGCCAGGTGCTTGCACTGGCCTTGCCACCACACGAATCGTGCGGCGAGTCACTACGACAGGCGCTGGCTGCCATCCCCAAGCATAGGTTGGGGCGCCGGCTGGTTGTACCAGCATCTGCCGCTTCAATGGGGCTGCCCATACATAGCCCGCCATGGACATTGCTATGGCGGGGCCAAAAAAACAACAGCCTCCAGAAGTTTAACGTGCAGAGTTTAGGGTTTAAGGTTTAGGATTTAGGATTTAAGGTTTAGGGTCAGATGCTTGGAATGTTGTTGATCTGCGGAGAGGCTTGGCTTTCGTAAAAACCTAGACGGCCTGCATGGCAACTCACTGGGGCCGAGAAGTAAAACGCATCCGTTCTGCAGAAGTTCCCCTCATCTGTTTGGGGGGGGCGACGTAGCACAAGATGCTGTTTCTACTGAAAGTTCTAGTACCTCCTTCTCTCCCCAAAACTACAGTATAGCTGGGGATTGCAGCTTTCCATGCACGTCCAAAGTGTCTTGAAGCTTCTTCGCAGATGTTTTGACTGATGACTAAGTGCGTGTTAGCGCGCAAATTGTCCATGACATATACACAAGGGTGAAAACTTTCAGGATAACCTCTACGTGACGTTGCTTGACAAAGTGTACGTATACTATGTTAACAAGTTCCCTGAGTTTCGAGGCTATCAAGAGAAGGCTCCAATAAACAGAAACAACCCTGTTCTCCGAAATTCCAGTGTTTGGGGCTTGCAGGTGCAGAGTGAACGTAGGTCCTCTGAGTTTTCCAAAAGCATGGGAGTCTTTGCCAGCGTCCTGTAGTCATCAACACCCGATTTGAGGTCCTAGGACCTAGGACGCCACAGCCACAAGCCACAACCCGTGTACCTCCTTTTTCTTATGACTTGGGAGGCTTTCCGTGGCGATGGAGGTGGAGAGGCGGGGGAGGGGGGGGCAACCCCCCCCATTTGCAACAGTGCAGATGCGTGAGAGTGTGTCACTGTTAGGCTGCGCATGTTGACACTCAACAAAGTGGACCGACTGCTTGCTTCCTAGCTTGCTTGCGTGCTTGCTTGCTTGTCCGACGATTGTTTGCTTGCTTTGCCCTCGAACAACAACAACAACAACAACTCTGAACAGCAATCATATCGACCCCTCCGCGCGATGGGATTTTTTTCTCACTTGCCTAGAATGCTCAATCTGCCTGGAGCTCGGTGAACAAGAACAGCGCGTCCCTGCCATCCAGGATAACAAGCCATGGTTACACAGTGGCTAACTGCCGCACTAACACTCCCCTAAAACATCCTAAAACCCCACTCAAGCAGAACACCGGCGCCTGCCGTCATCCAAGCGCACATTGATCACGTACTGCAGTTTGCCGTTCCTGCATGAAATACATGAAGAATTCCATGCACGACGGCATGTCGGTTCTGGCTTTCTAGGGCTTCCAGGCTTTAAAATTTGTGTTTTCAAGGTGTAAGGCGTTTAAGGTTTCAGGTTGTTTGTTTTCAGGGTCTCGGTCCTTTATTTGTGCGTGTTAGGAGCTTGGGGTTTCTAGGGTTGATAGGTTGTGCTTGTTTGCTTGCTGTCCTGCGTTACGAAAGAAGGAAACAACGGACAAAGAACTAAAACGCCGACAACATGAACGGTGAAAACACCGAGCCCTCCGCAGCACAGCCCGGCAAGCGCGCCTGAACTGTCGGAAGACTGGGAATATCGGGTGGCCGGGCGCCTTGGCCACCTTGCCACTGCAGCCCGCATAGGACCTTGGCGTGGGTGCGAAAAACCCGGGTCTTTGGACAAAGCCCAAAATTCTAGAAACCTGCGTCAAACGCCCCTGAAAAAACACAGGCAGCCGTGCCGCCCCTCCGCAACGCGCACTCGGCTTCCCAGTCGGCCGACCGTGCTCTCGAGCGCGGCATCCTCCTTGAATGGCCAGCATTCCTCGAGCGAGGTCGCCTTGTCTTCTGCCAACGTTCTCGCTGTGTAGTGCTTCTCGTGCACCTGCGCTGGAACTGCTCATCTTTTAATCTTTTCAGCCCGTGGCACCTGTCACAACCTCGAAACAGCTAGAAGTAGCAAGTAAGCCTAAGTAAGCGTTGGAACCAGTGCTGCAGCCTGCATGATAACAGCGTACCGGAGCCGCAAGCTCTTCGGCTGGATCGTGTCACTGAGGACCACGAGGTCTCCCACCTTGGCGCATGTACAGCGAAAACCTTAGTTATCCTAAGAACACGATCCGATACGTTTTGGTAGGGCTTCCAGCATGCATGCGCAGCCTATACTAAAGGATGTTGTTTGATTTATCTGAGGAAGCGCTGTGCATCAAGGACCTCAAAGGCAGTCTTGATCAGCTTACCTTGTGCCCTCCCCGCCTCTGGCTCGCCCGTCGGCTTCTTGGGGACCTTGAAGCCCATTCCGCCGAGCTCCGCCATCAGCGCCTTCAGCGCTTCCAAGGCCTCAGCCTGGCCCGGTAGTTCCTGCCGAGGTTCCGGCGGTGGGCTAGCGTCTTCTGCGGGCTCTGGAGCCGGCTCCGAAGCCGGCTTCGGAGCAGTCTCGGGAACGTCGGCGTCTTCTTGGCAAGCTGTTGGATCTTGAAGTTCCATGAAAGGCCTCCCCGGGCCATGCGAGACAGGCCTACCCTTCGGGTAGACCAGCTCGGGAGCCGGGGCAAAGGCTTCAGCAACCGCGTTCGTTGCTTCCATTGTCTCACATGCCTCAAGGTCGACTGGAGCCTCCTCAGTCAGGTCGACCGGGGCAGGCTCGCCTGCTCCAGCTTGAAGCAACCCCTTCTTGGGGTGCGCCACAGCCGGTGCCCTCGGCGGCCCGAGAAGGTGAGGCAGCTGCATCGGCGCAGCTGCCTTCACCACCACACTGGCCGGCTTCACGACCACACGAATGGTGCGCCGAGTCACCAAGCCAGGTGCTTGCACTGGCCTTGCCACCACACGAACGTGCGGCGAGTCACTACGACAGGCGCTGGCTGCCATCCCCAAGCATAGGTTGGGGCGCCGGCTGGTTGTACCAGCATCTGCCGCTTCAATGGGGCTGCCCATACATAGCCCGCCATGGACATTTCTATGCGGGGCCAAAAAAACGACAGCCTCCAGAAGTTTAACGTGTAGGGTTTAGGGTTTAAGGTTTAGGATTTAGGATTTAAGGTTTAGGGTCAGATGCTTGGAATGTTGTTGATCTGCGGAGAGGCTTGGCTTTCGTAAAAACCTAGACGGCCTGCATGGCAACTCACTGGGGCCGAGAAGTAAAACGCATCCGTTCTGCAGAAGTTCCCCTCATCTGTTTGGGGGGGGCGACGTAGCACAAGATGCTGTTTCTACTGAAAGTTCTAGTACCTCCTTCTCTCCCCAAAACTACAGTATAGCTGGGGATTGCAGCTTTCCATGCATGTCTAAAGTGTCTTGAAGCTTCTTCGCAGATGTTTTGACTGATGACTAAGTGCGTGTTAGCGCGCAAATTGTCCATGACAAATACACAAGGGTGAAAACTTTCAGGATAACCTCTACGTGACGTTGCTTGACAAAGTGTACGTATACTATGTTAACAAGGTTCCCTGAGTTCGAGGCTATCAAGAGAAGGCTCCAATAAACAGAAACAACCCTGGTCTCCGAAATTCCAGTGTTTGGGGATTGCAGGTGCAGAGTGAACGTAGGTCCTCTGAGTTTTCCAAAAGCATGGGAGTCTTTGCCAGCGTCCTGTAGTCATCAACACCCGATTTGAGGTCCTAGGACCTAGGACGCCACAGCCACAAGCCACAACCCGTGTACCTCCTTTTTCTTATGACTTGGGAGGCTTTCCGTGGCGATGGAGGTGGAGAGGCGGGGGAGGGGGGGGCAACCCCCCCCATTTGCAACAGTGCAGATGCGTGAGAGTGTGTCACTGTTAGGCTGCGCATGTTGACACTCAACAAAGTGGACCGACTGCTTGCTTCCTAGCTTGCTTGCGTGCTTGCTTGCTTGCTTGTCCGACGATTGTTTGCTTGCTTTGCCCCAGACAAGAACAACTCTGAACAGCAATCATATCGACCCCTCCGCGCGATGGGACTTTTTTTCTCTCTTGCCTAGAGTGCTTCTGCCCGGAGCTCAGTGAACAGGAACAGCGCGTCCCTGCCATCCAGGATAACAAGCCATGGTTACACAGTGGCTAGCACTCGCCTACAACATCCTGAAACCCCACTCAAGCAGAACACCGGCGCCTGCCGTCATCCAAGCGCACATTGATGACGTACTGCAGTTTGCCGTTCCTGCATGAAATACATGAAGAATTCCATGCACGACGGCATGTCGGTTCTGGCTTTCTAGGGCTTCCAGGCTTTAAAATTTGTGTTTTCAAGGTTTAAGGTGTTTAAGGCTTCAGGTTGTTTGTTTGCAGGGTCTCGGTCCTTTATTTGTGCGTGTTAGGAGCTTGGGGTTTCTAGGGTTGATAGGTTGTGCTTGTTTGCTTGCTGTCCTGCCTTACGAAAGAAGGAAACAGCAGACGAAGAACTAAAACGCCGACAACAAGAACGGTGAAAATACCGAGCCCTCCGCAGCACAGCCCGGCATGCGCGCCTGAACTGTCGGAAGACTGGGAATATCGGGTGGCCGGGCGCCGTGGCCACCTTGCCACTGCAGCCCGCATAGGACCTTGGCGTGGGTGCGAAAAACCCGGGTCTTTGGACAAAGCCCAAATTCTAGAAACCTGCGTCAAATGCCCCTGAAAAAACACACGCAGCCGTGGCGCCCCTCCGCAACGCGCACTCGGCTTCCCAGTCGGCCGACCGTGCTCTCGAGCGCGGCATCCTCCTTGAATGGCCAGCATTCTTCGAGCGAGGTCGCCTTGTCTTCTGCCAATGTTCTCGCTGTGTAGTGCTTCTCGTGCACCTGCGCTGGAACTGCTCATCTTTTACTCTTTTCAGCCCGTGGCACATGTCACAACCTCGAAACAGCTAGAAGTAGCAAGTAAGCCTAAGCAAGCGTTGGTTTCAGTATGTTTCAGTGCTGTAGCCTGCATGATAACAGCGTACCGGAGCCGCAAGCTCTTCGGCTGGATCGTGTCACTGAGGACCACGAGGTCTCCCACCTTGGCGTATGTACAGCGAAAACCTTAGTTATCCTAAGAACACGATCCGATACGTTTTGGTAGGGCTTCCAGCATGCATGCGCAGCCTATACTAAAGGATGTTGTTGATTTATCTGAGGAAGCGCTGTGCATCAAGGACCTCAAAGGCAGTCATGATCAGCTTACCTTGCGCCCTCCCCGCCTCTGGCTCGCCCGTCGGCTTCTTGGGGACCTTGAAGCCCATTCCGCCGAGCTCCGCCATCAGCGCCTTAAGCGCTTCCAAGGCCTCAGCCTGGCCCGGTAGTTCCTGCCGAGGTTCCGGCGGTGGGCTAGCGTCTTCTGCTGGAGCCGGCTCCGAAGCCGGCTTCGGAACAGTCTCGGGAACGTCGGCGTCTTCTTGGCAAGCTTTTGGATCTTGAAGTTCCATGAAAGGCCTCCCCGGGCCATACGAGACAGGCCTACCCTTCGGGTAGACCAGCTCGGGAGCCGGGGCAAAGGCTTCAGCAACCGCGTTCGTTGCTTCCATTGTCTCACATGCCTCAAGGTCGACTGGAGCCTCCTCAGTCCGGTCGACCGGGCAGGCTCGCCTGCTCCAGCTTGAAGCAACCCCTTCTTGGGGTGCGCCACAGCCGGTGCCCTCGGCGGCCCGAGAAGGTGAGGCAGCTGCATCGGCGCAGCTGCCTTCACCACCACACTGGCCGGCTTCACGACCACACGAATGGTGCGCCGAGTCACCAAGCCAGGTGCTTGCGCTGGCCTTGCCACCACACGAATCGTGCGGCGAGTCACTACGACAGGCGCTGGCTGCCATCCCCAAGCATAGGTTGGGGCGCCGGCTGGTTGTACCAGCATCTGCCGCTTCAATGGGGCTGCCCATACATAGCCCGCCATGGACATTTCTATGCGGGGCCAAAAAAACGACAGCCTCCAGAAGTTTAACGTGTAGGGTTTAGGGTTTAAGGTTTAGGATTTAGGATTTAAGGTTTAGGGTCAGATGCTTGGAATGTTGTTGATCTGCGGAGAGGCTTGGCTTTCGTAAAAACCTAGACGGCCTGCATGGCAACTCACTGGGGCCGAGAAGTAAAACGCATCCGTTCTGCAGAAGTTCCCCTCATCTGTTTGGGGGGGGCGACGTAGCACAAGATGCTGTTTCTACTGAAAGTTCTAGTACCTCCTTCTCTCCCCAAAACTACAGTATAGCTGGGGATTGCAGCTTTCCATGCATGTCTAAAGTGTCTTGAAGCTTCTTCGCAGATGTTTTGACTGATGACTAAGTGCGTGTTAGCGCGCAAATTGTCCATGACAAATACACAAGGGTGAAAACTTTCAGGATAACCTCTACGTGACGTTGCTTGACAAAGTGTACGTATACTATGTTAACAAGGTTCCCTGAGTTTCGAGGCTATCAAGAGAAGGCTCCAATAAACAGAAACAACCCTGTTCTCCGAAATTCCAGTGTTTGGGGATTGCAGGTGCAGAGTGAACGTAGGTCCTCTGAGTTTTCCAAAAGCATGGGAGTCTTTGCCAGCGTCCTGTAGTCATCAACACCCGATTTGAGGTCCTAGGTCCTAGGACCTAGGCGGCCACAGCCACAAGCCACAACCCGTGTACCTCCTTTTTCTTATGACTTGGGAGGCTTTCCGTGGCGATGGAGGTGGAAAGGCGGGGGAGGGGGGGGCAACCCCCCACATTTGCAACAGTGCAGATGCGTGAGAGTGTGTCACTGTTAGGCTGCGCATGTTGACACTCAACAAAGTGGACCGACTGCTTGCTTCCTAGCTTGCTTGCGTGCTTGCTTGCTTGCTTGTCCGACGATTGTTTGCTTGCTTTGCCCTCGAACAACAACAACTCTGAACAGCAATCATATCGACCCCTCCGCGCGATGGGACTTGTTTTTCTCTCTTGTCTAGAGTGCTCAATCTGCCCGGAGCTCGGTGAACAGGAACAGCGCGTCCCTGCCATCCAGGATAACAAGCCATGGTTACACAGTGGCTAACTGCCGCACTAACACTCCCCTAAAACATCCTAAAACCCCCCTCAAGCAGAACACTGGCGCCTGCCGTCATCCAAGCGCACATTGATGACGTACTGCAGTTTGCCGTTCCTGCATGAAATACATGAAGAATTTCACGCGCGACGGCATGTCGGTTCTGGCTTTCTAGGGCTTCCAGGCTTTAAATTTGTGTTTTCAAGGTTTAAGGTGTTTAAGGTTTCAGGTTGTTTGCTTTCAGGGTCTCGGTCCTTTATTTGTGCGTGTTAGGAGCTTGGGGTTTCTAGGGTTGATAGGTTGTGCTTGTTTGCTTGCTGTCCTGCCTTACGAAAGAAGGAAACAGCAGACAAAGAACTAAAATGCCGACAACAAGAACGGTGAAAATACCGACCCCTCCGCAGCACAGCCCGGCATGCGTGCCTGAACTGTCGGAAGACTGGGAATATCGGGTGGCCGGGCGCATTGGCCACCTTGCCACTGCAGCCCGCATAGGACCTTGGCGTGGGTGCGAAAAACCCGGGTCTTTGGACAAAGCCCAAAATTCTAGAAACCTGCGTCAAATGCCCCTGAAAAAACACACGCAGCCGTGGCGCCCCTGCGCAACGCGCACTCGGCTTCCCAGTCGGCCGACCGTGCTCTCGAGCGCGGCATCCTCCTTGAATGGCCAGCATTCCTCGAGCGAGGTCGCCTTGTCTTCTGCCAACGTTCTCGCTGTGTAGTGCTTCTCGTGCACCTGCGCTGGAACTGCTCATCTGTTAGTCTTTTCAGCCCGTGGCACATGTCACAACCTCGAAACAGCTAGAAGTAGCAAGTAAGCCTAAGCAAGCGTTGGAACCAGTGCTGCAGCCTGCATGATAACAGCGTACCGGAGCCGCAAGCTCTTCGGCTGGATCGTGTCACTGAGGACCACGAGGTCTCCCACCTTGGCGCATGCACAGCGAAAACCTTAGCTATCCTAAGAACACGATCCGATACGTTTTGGTAGGGCATCCATGTTTGACTTATCTGAAGAAGCGCTGTGCATCAAGGACCTCAAAGGCAGTCTTGATCAGCTTCCCTTGTGCCCGCCCCGCCTCTGGTTCGCCCGTCGGCTTCTTGGGGACCTTGAAGCCCATTCCGCCGAGCTCCGCCATCAGCGCCTTAAGCGCTTCCAAGGCCTCAGCCTGGCCCGGTAGTTCCTGCCGAGGTTCCGGCGGTGGGCTAGCGTCTTCTGCGGGCTCTGGAGCCGGCCCCGGAGCCGGCTTCGGAGCGGTTTCGGGAACGTCGGTGTCTGCTTGGAAAGCTGTTGGATCTTGAAGTTCCATGAAAGGCCTCCCCGGGCCATACGAGACAGGCCTACCCTTCGGGTAGACCAGCTCGGGAGCCGGGGCAAAGACTTCGGCAACCGCGTTCGTTGCTTCCACTGTCTCACATGCCTCAAGGTCGACTGGAGCCTCCTCAGTCGGGGCAGGCTCGCCTGCTCCAGCTTGAAGCAACCCCTTCTTGGGGTGCGCCACAGCCGGTGCCCTCGGCGGCCCGAGAAGGTGAGGCAGCTGCATCGGCGCAGCTGCCTTCACCACCACACTGGCCGGCTTCACGACCACACGAATGGTGCGCCGAGTCACCAAGCCAGGTGCTTGCACTGGCCTTGCCACCACACGATAGGTGCGGCGAGTCACTACGACAGGTGCTGGCTGCCATCCCCAAGCATTGGTCGGGGCGCCGGCTGGTTGTACCAGCATCTGCGGCTTCAATGGGGCTGCCCATACATAGCCCTCCATGGACATTGCTATGGCGGGGCCAAAAAAACGACAGCCTCCAGAAGTTTGACGTGTAGGGTTTAGGGTTTAAGGTTCAGGATTTAGGATTTGAGGTTTAGGGTCAGATGCTTGGAATGTTGTTGATCTGCGGAGAGGCTTGGCTTTCGTAAAAACCTAGACGGCCTGCATGGCAACTCACTGGGGCCGAGAAGTAAAACGCATCCGTTCTGCAGAAATTCCCCAAACAGATGAGGGGGGGCGACGTAGCACAAGATGCTGTTTCTACTGAAAGTTCTCGTACCTCCTTCTCGCCCCAAAACTACAGTACAGCTGGGATTGCAGCTTTCCATGCATGTCTAACGTGTCTTGAAGCTTCTTCGCAGATGTTTTGACTGATGACTAAGTGCGTGTTAGCGCGCACATTGTCCATGACAAATACACAAGGGTGAAAACTTTCAGGATAACCTCTACGTGACGTTGCTTGACAAAGTCTATGTTAACAAAGTTCCCTGAGTTTCGAGGCTATCAAGAGAAGGCTCCAATAAACAGAAACAACCCTGTTCTCCGAAATTCCAGTGTTTGGGGATTGCAGGTGCAGAGTGAATGTAGGTCCTCTGAGTTTTCCAAAAGCATGGGAGTCTTTGCCAGCATCCTGTAGTCATCAACACCCGACTTGAGGTCCTAGGACCTAGGAGGCCACAGCCACAAGCCACAACCCGTGCACCTCCTTTTTCTTATGACTTGGGAGGCTTTCCGTGGCGCTGGAGGTGGAAAGGCGGGGGGGGGGGGGGCAACTCCCCACATTCGCAACAGTGCAAATGCGTGAGAGTGTGTCACTGTTAGGCTGCGCATGTTGACACTCAACAAAGTGGACCGACTGCTTGCTTCCTAGCTTGCTTGCGTGCTTGCTTGCTTGTCCGACGATTGTTTGCTTGCTTTGCCCTCGAACAACAACAACTCTGAACAGCAATCATATCGACCCCTCCGCGCGATGGGACTTTTTTTCTCCAGATTTAGGAGCTATTTCTAGGCCCACTTGCACCATGTGTTTCGCGGGCACCCGTTGCCTTAGAGCCACCTCAACCACAAAGGGCAAAGAACACATCAGGACAATGAGCGCGCCCTGGCGTGCTCCGACTAGCAACCTCGGCTTTCGCCGGCATACCTCACGAATCATGGTCATAACTCCAGTGAGGATTTGCTTTCGGAGTCGTCTAACAGTCTCGGACATCTGTCTGGCTCGAGCATCAATCCAATAGCCGCACGTTGTCGTCATCGGCAAACGACGTGGCGCTGAGCACAACGGTTGACTCAACTCCAGCAGTGCGCAAACCCTCCTCAACCAGATCACACTGCGTCTGCAAATCTGGTTCGGCCTGGTAGGCCGAGGCATACAGCACTGCAACCCTGGGCGCTAAGACCCGGTCCTTCGGAGGTCTCGCGACTTCCGCGGCCACTTGTATTGTACTGCATCAGCAACAAGTGCCTCGCCCCGAGCAGCTTCCTCCTTGGACGCCGCTTTGGGAGAAGGGTCCGGCTCCGGAAACTCAAGGAAATCATCGCAATCCGGGTCCTTGAGCCGCGCGTGGGCGGTGGCCAACTCGTTCCAACATCTTCTTCTACTGCTCCTTGGGCACAGAGGTCGTGTCGAACAACCTGCTCAGCCCATCGGCCAAACGCATGCTTCGGCCTGAGAGGTTCCGAATCTCACTCCCATCAGCAGTGGAAACTGACAGGATTAACCTGGTCAAGGAGCAATCCTGCAGTCGCACGATGTTCGCATGGTCTGTGTACATCACCACGGGGATAGACCCAAACAGCGCGCGGAATTTCCGTCGGCATCGCAGCTGCGCGTGCTGCTCTTGCCTGAACGGACGCCACAAGGTCTGCGCTGGCGTCAAGCTTTCCGCATGATAGGCCAACGGCATCCACCTCTTGAGGTCGGCGCTCATCTGTAAGCGCGCTCCCCCCAAGCCAGCCTTGCAACAATCAGCTAGCTGTTCGTAAGGACGAGATCCCGAAGCCGCCGCGTGCTCATCGGGCACGGAAAGACACGTGGTCTTGCCTCTTCAGCCGCTCGACGCCCTCCAAGCCTCGATGTGTGAGGGGAAAACCAGCATCACCCTCCCTGAGATACCTCCTCAGCGGATCCATAGCCACTGCGAATTTCGGGCCAATCTGATCCTGGCTGTAGTTGGCAGGATAGCTGGCCTCGAGATGAGCACGACAGGCCTGGCGGTAGCTCTCCGTTGGCACCTCGTCCCTCATTCTCAATGAGATGATAATGGAACTCCGGGGTTGCAATCCCCGGGAGAACTCCCACGCGTGAGGTCCACCAAGTGACCTTCCATGACTCGATTCGGCCCACGCTTCTGGCCTGCAAATCGTACCCTACCTCTGCAAGCTGGAGCTCCGCTAATGCACTCGCCTTCCCCAAATCCACGTGCAGAACACGTCAACGTGTCAGTCGGCTCGGTGAACTCCATCAACTCGAGGGAACGTTGGCAACGCTCCAACAACTGGCCCGTGACACCACAGAAAGTCAAGCGGACTCGAATGTCATCGACCTTCGGACCAAACCCATAAGGCGGACTCCTAATCAGGACAAGCAAAAGGTCAAAGTGTGAAAAGCAGAGCACTCGCACAGTTCTTTTCGCAAGTCGCACTTGAGCCAAACACCGTGGTGTTCAGCTGTACTGTCCAACGTCAGCAGAAGCTCTCTCCAAGAGCTCAGGTCTCAAGGCTTACAAATTCCGTCTCAACTTTGCTAAACAAAGGAGGAAAACAAAAGAAACATGCAAAACCTTTGGGGATTGCTTCAGGACTTCAAGTCTGTCTCAAAAGCAACAGCATGCACTCACCATGCCTCAGTCAGGTTCCCAACGCACACGTAACGGTACGAACGACGTGGGCATGCGCACGGAGTGAGTAACTGCAAAGGTCTGTCCCTCAGAGCTTCACACGCACTGCTTCAAGGCTTGCACAGCAAGCTCAGTGCTCTCCAAACTCATCACTGGGAACTGAACCAAACGTCATGCCATGCCAAACAAGTTCTTGCCACGCCAAAACAAAGCCATGCACAACACACATGTTCTTGCAAAGACATGCCACTGTAAGACAGCTTCTGTACTGGCACACCAAGGAAAGCGTAAACTTTTCTCACCAAGTGTGTGGGGGCGTGAGCAGAGCTCAGTCAACATGTCAGACTAATTAAACGTGCAAGCCGGAGGTGCGGTACCGGTCCGAAGTCCTTGCCCGTAGGCTAGACCTACTCTACCTACGGCTCCTCCACTGACTGCTACACCCTACCACAGGCAGGGGCTGGCCAGTGGGCTCTCAGAACTATCGAGGCAGCTCACCCTGATGTAAAGACCGGGACGCCCATGCCCAGGGGCAGGGACTATGAAGAATGTGAGGTTTCCAGACGTACCCACGCCTACTGGCAGGGAAATGACACTCTCCAACCTTGCAGGGCTTTTGGTTCCCCCAAGCACCCTTTTAAATGCGCAGCCGTCCAGGGTTTTTGGTTTACCCTCAACCTTGGCGACCCATCAGACGAGGGCTTTAGTATGCCCTCAGCCTTGTTGCTGGGGTGGTGAAGACCCCTAGCCTTCGGACTGAACTGCATAGCATCAAGGGTTTTTGGTTGACCCTCAACCCTGCACTCCGCCGACGCTATCGCCCTCTATGGCTCATGGCACAAGCTCAGGTTCAGCTGTCGGACTGGGATATAGGGGCAAACTCGGCAGATGAACTTGCAGGCTAATTAATAGCACCCTGAAGGCGAGACACGTCAGCCACAGCTGCTCCTCTCCACCTTGGTGCCCACCTCAACCGAGCAGCCACTGCAGCTATAGCTAGGGCAGCTAGGGAGGCTTTTCTGTTCTTCGTTGGTCCAGGCACGCACCCCGAACATGAGTCCCGGCACCAGACTACGGCTGCTGATTGGCTCACCTACCCTCTTTACAAGCTAAGCAACGGGTGGCCCCGGCGTTCTCGCTCTTACCAACCGGGACCAAACATCCATGCCGGAGCCAGCGCTGGACATTCCTTACCCAGCCGCTTAGCACGGGGCAGACGTGGCCATGAAATTGGACAGCGGCAGAAAATCCACAGGCGTTCTCGCTCTTACCAACCTGCCATCTTATCGCCTACACCACCAGCAAGGCGGCACTATACAAGAGGGAAGCAGAGAGAGCTCTGCTAAATTTTGGCCCTAACGTTGGAAAGCTTCTCAAACAGCATGCTGGGACAGCAAAACTACTCCAACCGTGGCCTCTAGGCCGGGCAGACGATTCCTACTTAAGCAAGACTTCCCAATCATTGAAGAGCCACCACCTTAAGTGGCCTGACCCTGGCCCCCTTCGACCGGGAAGGCATAGTCGACCCCCAGCCTCACTTGGCTCTCTGCTGCGGCTGGGCAGTCGATTCACCCTCAGCTGTTGCATACAGCAGTACGGGGCTGAATACACTGCGATGACTTGCACCCAGTCATTAGCTACCTTCCTGCCTCAGCCGGTGCACTTCTGGCTTCACGTGATGCAATCAAAGGTGGCATAGCCACTCTAGCACCCTCAGATGCCATGGACTCTGTCAACCAGCGTTCATACCTCCGATGACAGGCTCTCGTATGCGCACCGCCCAGCCTACGACCATGCCGTGCATTGTCACATGCTGAGCATCCCTCCCGTGGTATCCATGCGTTCTCACCCACTGAGCTGGAGTTTCACCGACGTGGCTGCGAATGTCTTTAGCACCAACTGTCCCTCGACTCGGATGAGCGCTCGAACTTTGATGGCCTGTGATCGATGGGATGGTTTTTTTTTTTCCCCTGGTGCCTCTTTACTACATCAGTAGCACAGTAGGCCGGTCTTGTTGGGCTCGACGAAAAGGGTGAAACAGAGTCAGCGCACACAACCCACCAGACACAACACGAAACCACCAAAGAACAAACACCGAAGAAACAAAGCGAGCAATCGCGCTAAACTACTAGATACCCCACGGACTCAGTACTCGAGGTCGTCAAT